TATTGTTAACAATAATAATAACATCAACAGAAATAATAATAACAACATTTAACAATAGTTATTGTATTTAAGCTTTTTTTGACGGTTTAACTCATATTAATAAAAAATACTAGCTGCAGTTATTAATGATAATGATAGAAAAAATTGATATGCAGTGATAAAACAGTGATAACACTTAGTATTGATGTTACCACTGCCAAACAATATGATAAATCAAGCATTTATTTGAAAAAAAATAAATTATTCTTAGTAGCTGAATCTTATCAAGATGTAAGTATTAGAATTTGAAACTAGAAAATTTTTAACAACTTTTTGAATTTCTTATATTATTATCATTTACACTTTTTTGACATTGTAAAAAAAAGCCTGAAATGGATGGTTTTACTAATAAACTAAAAAATCTATTATTATTGATTTAAATAAACAATTTAACAAATTGAAATAATTGAATTCAAATTAAAAACTGAAAAATTAAAATATAATTGTTATTTTTTGTTTACTAGCCCCATTAGCAAGGTAAGCATTACAAATGTAACAAATGTTTAAATATTAATTTGAACAAAATTATTAGCTTTTATAAAAATGATTCATCCAGCCAAAATATTTGCTTTAATAGCTAATTTGCCTTTCATCTCTCTTTTATTTATTTTTTTTCTTTTAAATAATACTTAAGTTATACATATTTTCTCTGTATATATGACAAAATATTTTATGTTAATTTGATTGTAAACAGAAAGCGGAAATGATCTGAGATAAATTTATTGCTCTGATAGCAATAAAAAAATTTTTGTGTTTTTTCCTCTTTTCATTTAGTAAACATTTTTTAAAAAAAGAAAAAAATGAATGAATTTTACATTTAATAAGAAATTTTATGACTTTATGTTAAATATAATTTGTTTGTATTTACCACTTATTTCTTTCTTTCAACAATATTTTGCATATTATTTGTATATTTTCTCATTTTCTTTTCTTTTTTTGAGCTTAGCGAGAAGAATAACAGAATTATAAAGTATGATAATTGTGAATTGTAATTGGTTTTCAGCCTAAATTTTATGTGACACTTTTAAGTGGTAAGTAATTCTCAGTCTGCTACTGATGACATTCTAAAATGCATTTTTTTAATTAATTAATATGGAGCGATTCATTTTTGATTGCTAAAGTTTGAACTAATAATTAAGGAATTGATAATAAAGTGTAATTGAACTGTAATATTATGTCTGGTATGATATATTATAAGTAAAAATATTTTTTTTTGTTGATTTAATTGCTTAGGAAAATATATTAATTTCAAAAAAATATAAGTGAAATAATTGAGTTGGAATAATAATGTTAACACAATTTCTGGTTCAGGAGTGATAAAATTATTTCAAAAATTGCAAAAAAGGAAATATACGGAATTATCCGGATTATTTCGACAACAGGAAATATTACGAATTTAGACGAAATGGTGGAAGAAGTTAAGTTGAGATGATAGAATGAAATGCAATAAGTTAGCTGAATTAAAATTGTCATCTTTCATTACTAAAGAGTAGTTTTAATTGAAAATTAATAATAGCTTACTTTGTTAGTTTAATTATTTAAAAGAAGAAATGGAATTTTAAAAGTATACAGAGTAAAAATCAAAGTAAGACAACATCGATACTAATCAAAAAAGACAACTGTTGATTAGTAAGACTTAAAAGGTCAATTCAAGCTTAAAATCTCATCAATTCAACAAATCTAATTACTATTTGTTCATGTCAAGATTGATCAAAATTTTTATTAAATTGTAAAATATTTAATGTAATTTTATTCGGTAATTTTTTTAATAAATATTATTATAATAAGAAGATCACTTCTATTACTATTAAATTAATATTTAACTTCAGATTTCATCGCTTTTGCTGTGTTACTACTCTGGAATTTATTGTCTCTACTCAAAATGCCTACCATCTTGGCTAGCCAAGAATCGTCAACGTGTTCAGGTCATTATTTTCTTCCACTCTTAATTAATTCGATCATTATCACAGCACATACTGATAACCATTACTCTAACCCTATAATCATACCCATAATCAGTAATCTAATCACTATATTGTATTCATTAATCATTATAAGCTGCTCATAATCTCCAATAATCATCATTTATTCATGATCATTAGTGATATCATTATATTCATGATAATAATTATCGATTTAACTATTATATTCACACTTATAGTAGCCAATTTAATCATTACAATCATGCTAATCACTGCTGATTACAATCATGCTAATAATCACTAATCAATATATCTATGCCAATAATAAGTGGTCACAATACCAATACTCATCATCAATACTTGTGAGAGTTATACTTGCCACAATCGTTATCACTGTCGTAATAATAATAATAATAATAATAATAATAATAATAATAATAATAATAATAATAATAATAATAATAATAATAATAATAATAATAATAATGTTATTATTATTGCGCTGCTAATATTTCAAGAATTATAAAATGCATACTATATTTGTTGAAATTGGTAATATTCTTTTTTCTTTTCAATTTGCTCATTATTATCATGATAGTGAATTATGCTGAGTTCTATTTCCGGTTTTCGTATTTCAGGAAAACGGACAACTCGTAGAAGATGGAAGAAGTAAAATGAGAATAAAAAATGAAAATGACACAGCGAGTAGCTATCAAATATTTGAATTATTTGTAATATGTACAGCAACATTTATCCTATTATTATCACTTATTTGGTTACTTGCTAATTCGATATTTAAAAACGCTGAAATTAGACAGACGTATGGTAGATTTGTGAGTTTGTTTGTTTTCTTTTAAAAATAAAAGAAATAAAATTATAAATAAAAGTAAATTCAAAAAAGAGGACAATGAGTGATTAGAAAAGATGAAAATAGTGAAATAAAAGAAAAAAAACAATTGCATTAATTATTTGTTATTTTTTTTAATTTTTGAACCAATCAAATTAAATAAACGCAAATTAAAATAATCAGTAACTATTACATTTCACAATTTTATTTGCAATTTAATCAATTAATTAATTTTGATTGCAAAATTGAAATGTTCGATGCTAAGTAAGAAGAAGTGGAAGTTATACAATATAATTTAAGTACTTTTAAAGATCAAATTTTATTGAAATAATAATATTTTATCATATAATACAATTAGAAATAATCTGATAACTAAAAATTTTTGAAGATTTAATTGCTTTTATTTTAAAGTTTATTTGGAAATTTAAAAGAAAGAAAAACTTAACCAACTTTGTAAATAATTACCAGAAAAAAGTGAAAATTTTAAAAATTAAAAAGAAAACAAAGATATTATAAGGAAATGCCAACTGCTGTGATATGCTCATTACTTGCTGGAATTTGCGCTGTCACCGAATTTCACTATTCCATCGATTACTCATTCTTGCATTGGAGTGATAAATGGACATTCGCTGGTGTAAGCATATTTTATTTTATTATCAATTATAAAAAATTATTGTTAAAAAAAATTTAAAAAATTTAAAAAACTTTTTCTCATTTTCAAAATATTTACTGTGCAATTTTCAGATTGATGCAACAGCGCTATCGTTTTTGCATGCAATTATTGCATTTGCATTACATTAATTGGAAACCAATGAATTTTTTAAAAAATTGCAATTCTTAGGTTTCTTTTTTTGTGCAAATAAATTTGTAAAATTTTCGTTTCTTTTTTTGTCTTAAAGTGATTATTGTTATTATGAAGAATCTGTTATATAATAGTGTTGGCTAAAATATTTAATGGTATTGCGATACTATAAAACGATAAATACTGATAGTTTGTATGATAATATTAATAATATTTTAAAATTAGAAATTTTCCAAATGCATTTTCTTCTTCTCAATTTGATTGAAAATGAAAAAAGAATTTACCACTTATTGATGATAATAACATATCATGAATTAAATGGAATAATTTTAAATGTTAATTTCAAAATGAATTATACAAAATTTTAAAAAATGATATGTCAACGAGCTAATAATAATGTCGGACCAAATAATTAATTAGGATAAGAAACAATATTACTTTTGAAAAGGATGCATTAAATCCTTTAATAAGTTACAACAAGTTGTTCATTTCATATAATTAGCTTAATCTTTTACCATTTCGATTATGTGCCTTCTTTCTTCTGTTTTGTTGAAATAAATTTGTCAAATTTCTTATTTTTTGTTTGTTTGAAGCAAGTAATTATCGTTGTTGTGAAGAAACTGTTACATTTGTCATTTCGGAACAATTTTATCGAAATGATAAAAAAAAAATTGAAACTTATGTAACGCATATAAACTTTTCAACGACAATTGTAATTGTAATAGTTAAGAAATGAAAGTAAGCATTATGCTTCACCAATAAAATAATCATGCATTTACAAACGTATGAAAATCTTTTGTACTTTTGAACACAACAATAATATGAATGACACTTTTAAATGAACAACAGTAAACAATCTAAGTATCATTCACCCGTAATAGAAATGAAATTTAGCATGTAAAAAAGAAGCATAGAAATGTAATCTTTTCAAGAGAAAAGAAAAACAAGACAAAAATTACAAAAAAATATAATATTTATGCAGTTTATTATTGGTCATCCGAACATCTAATGTCATCAAATGGATAAGTGTATATATTAGAATAAATTGAACAAATGGCATTTAATATTTTTTTTCAGCTACATTAGAGTAACTGTCATATTTTTCGATATGAGCACAAAAAATATCTCAAAAAATTCAATATCTTTCCCAAAAAAAGAACGATGAGATCAAGAAAATAACAGACTGATAATAAAGAGTAGGAGTAAAGCGAAACATAACTAAGATCAATCACATTTGCTATCTATCATTTCCAATACCGCTCGATTGAGCTCGATGTGATATATGCATGCTAACTAATGAATGATGGTATCATTCGTATAATAGAGCGATTCATCTTAAAAGTTAGAATAATGAAAGACATACACCATATACATTTGAAACAAATAAAAATTACTGTTTGAAGAAAGAGCCAAGACGAAATTCAAAACTGCTAAAATTTGCCATTTCATCAAGACCAGCTGCGTCATTCATTCCTGGACATTTGAAACGGCCACTTATTTGACCGACGATGGAGGTTTCTTGGTCTAACTTTGAATTATGCCGAAGAAAATTTTCCAGCTGTAAATAAGATTATTAGAAAATGTACAATTTATAATAATTCAATAAGTTCATTCCTTTCAATAAAGACCCACCATTGTAATCATATGGGGCATAACAGGACCATTCTCCCATTCACAGACATAAAAATCAGCACCATCCTTTGTAAAATCTCGATATTGACACTGAAAAATTATTGGTTAGTTACAAGATAAAAATTTCGAAATGCTTTCAAAATCGTTGGAAATTGAGAAACAAATATATTCACTTTCAAATTTTTCAACACTGCGTTTAGAAATGGTTGTCTCGCCAAAAGTGTAGGTGGAAAGCCAGCTTGTGGCCCAGTAGCAACGCGCCCAAAGTTCGATGTGGTCATCATGTTGTAAAGAGCCTTAAGATATCATGAATTACAAAACAGAAAATTATATTAACAAATATCTCGAAAGATTCCAGAATGAAGAATATGAAATGAAAATCAGAGTTACAGCAATGCTATCCAAATCCTTTAACACAATTGCACTTTTCTTATTTTCATCTGTAAAATCTGGATCCAATGAGAATGAACGTTCGTAATCGAGTGAATGACTTGACATCACTGATTTACTGCAAGGAAGATTTCTTATGAAAAATGTTTGAAAATACTGAAAAGACATGTGAATTCCATAGTACCATTAACAAATATGAATTTTCTGGTAGTTTTGTATAATTTTTTTCTTTGGAAAAATCAATTTTCCAACTTTATTTAGAAAGTACCAAATATTACTTTCGCGTAATTTTTAGGGTTTTCCTCGGAGAAATACCTATTCCTCTCAGCCATTCATCATTGTCCGTATCATTCGAGCTGTTCAGGTCATCCGGACTGAAAAAAAGTTTGTAGAAAGGATATGACTAAATAATAAATGAATATAACCTGACTATGTAGACAATAAATTGATGAATATCATGGAATGCTAAATGCAGTTCAATATACTGTTATTTCTTTCAGTACTTTAATAGGTTTCAATTAACTCTTGTCCATTTCATCTTCCTACTCTCTCATCACTAATTTAAGTCTATAAAGACCATAGAACAGTTAAATATGACTAAGATATTTTTTACGAAATAAATATGCAATACCTTTCGCTTCCCTTGTCATTTTTTTCGTTTTTTCTTTCCCCATCGTTTTCAACTTGATTTTCCTTCGAGTCGCTTACTAGAATGGAATCGTCACGCTTTCCAGAAAGTGAGCTGTCTGATGATACCCATGACTGCTCCTTCTTGTTATCAGAAATTAATGGTGGCTGACTCTGGGTAGTACCCAGCAAACTATTATCATTTAGAATAGAATGCCTGGATGATGAATATCGTGAATGACGAAGTGGCATCGAATATTTTATACCTAAAATTACAACGTTTTACTGAATAGCAAATTGAAAAGGATACCTGTTCAACAATGCAAATTTTTCTAGCAAAATTTAAAACCAACACTATTTAGAAAACATGAAAGAAGAAGAACCATTACATAAAGGTTAAAACTAAAGTATAAACAGAAATTCAAAAAATATTACCGTCTTCTCGCAACTGTTGACGGAATCCATATGTTGTAGGTGTTATAACAACCTGAAAATTATATTTTTCATCGCTTTTGCTCAAATGCTCATCCATTTCAACAATGCCTTTTGGAGTCTTCCAAAATAATATCGTATATGTTGGACAGCAAGCGTAAAAGTATTGTCGCGTTCCAAATCGCCATGAATGATAGAGTTGTTCAAGTGATAAAAACCTATAGAAATATAAAATGAAATCATTAAAAATTTCCACTATATTAATAAAGTTTTATTAAAAGAATAATCAAAAAAAAAAAAAAATTTCAAAAATTTTCGCTAATAATTGGCCTAACTATACCATTGCATCGTTAGCGCTTGAACTAATGGATCACCGAGTGTGTGTAAACTTGGCACAACAGGATTTCGCACACCTATCAATCGAGAGTCATTATCCAAACGTGGAAATGATGGTTGCCACGCTAAATCCGGAAATTGCCAATAAAGAGTGCAGGCTAGAAATTTAGATAAATCGCTCACCGATCTCTGAGTTGTTTCCATAGCTATCTGAAATATCACATCTTTATTTTATCTTGGTATAAATAAGCTATGTGTAACTGGCCAATCATTATTTTCTCCATTTTCAAGTTCAGATATAAGGCGGCAACAAAGAAAATGCTAGAATACACAAGAGACATAAAAACTAAAAAATAAGATAATGTAAAATTAAAAAAAAAATTATTAATACTAATCTATAAATAAGCATAAAAGATGAACTTCTATGAATTTAAAAAAGAAGCAAGCAATTTTTCCCCAATTTGAAATTGATAAAAGGCAGAACTTATGGCAAACTATAAATGCTAAACAGTCAAGATAATCAAGCATAATAATTTAATTAGCTATTGAATAAGCCGTTAAATACAACTGGTAGTTCTAAATTGTTCACATCTTACTTCATTAGCTCCAGTCTCTAACGAACAAAACAGCTTGATTGCATCGTCATAAGCTGCTGAAATATGAAAAAGAGGAGAATTACACCAGGAAAGTGAATCAACTCCTAAATCCTTTTTTTTTTACTCTATTTCAATTCTAAAACTTAACTTCTCTTCCAACAATTCTGAAATTTTCGAAAAAATTTGGAGAAATGACCGGCCATATATGAACTTAACTAAGGAATTGAATCGTCACGAACCAGTCAATACGGTACTTGTCAACTGCAAAGAAAAAAAAATTTCCAAATTTTTAATGATATTACTTAAGGTTATAGTTGCAAATCCTTACCGATTCCTTTTGATTTTTCTAGCCAGAAGAAACGTTTCGACGATTCTAAGCGTAATTTAAGGCCAAGTCGGAGATCAACTGGAAGTGAATCTACTTTTGTCTTTGACTCTTCTACTCTTAAAGTTTTCTTTTTTGGTGTTGAACAACTGAATTCATCAATACTTGAGAAGTCAACTGGAAGTGATACCGTGGTGGAAGTAGTGGTAGTGCTAATGGAGGTACTGCTTCGCTGCAATGCACATCAACATATTATATATAATGCCATCATTTTTGAAGATCTGTAAATTTATGATTAGTGATAAGGCAGGATATTTGAAAATATGTATTGGAAATTACAATGTTTCTTTTTGAAATGTAAGTTTCAAGACTAGCTTCTGGAAAATGAGTAAATTTTTGAGAAAAAAAAAAACTTCGATGGTTAGAAAAATAACCGGTTGAGCAAAAATATCAAATATATTTTGCTTATAATAATGTCAATAAAAAGTAAAAAAGAAGGAATTTGTTACAAAACATACAGCTTCTGTATCTTTAGGCATGGAAATTTTCTTCACCTTGTCGAAAACACTTGATGGAAATTCCAGTAACGCATTACTGTCTGCTATGAGATCAACAACTGTCGATGAGACACCACATCTATCATCAATGATTTTCTCCGGCAAGGTATTTCGGTTTAATGATCTTTTACAAGATACGCGCTGTAAATCATATGTTATGGAGAGATAATATTAACTAACCAAATAATAGATCACACATTAAACATAAACTAATACATAAAAAGTAAAATTGATTTCTTCACCAGTAAGCTGAAAAAAGAAATAAACATTAAAAATTATTTAGGCTTCTAAATCCAATGTTATTGCGCATATGCTTGATAGAAATATTTGATAAAGAAGTATATTTGGTAAGATAAAGAAAAATGGATAATACTCGAAACGGATTTATTATAACTGAATCAGCTCCTTGCGATTTCTTTGTTGAAAGCACCGAGAATCTTTCATCCGCCTCATTATCAACGGATAATTGTTTTAATGATGATGACGATGAAACTGATAATTCTCGTCTGAAATCATTAGAATTTACCCGACATGTGAATTTTCGAAAAAACAAGGATCAATAAAAACTGCACTTAACAATATTAAAAACATCTGAAGATTTTTATCAATTTTTTTAAAATGCTACCTGTTCTTGCGAATTCCTTTCTTAATAACATCGCAGGGATTTTTCCACGCTGGACTCCTAATTGAATGTTTGTTCCGATCATTCATTATTAAGCTATATTATCAGAAATTTTTATGTACCATCTCTGAAATGATCTAGCATAAAGCACGAGATTTTGAAATTGTTACTTTTTCGCATTCGCTTAATTTTCTTCCAAAGTAATAATGCATACTTCGATTTTTAATATTCTCGAATTATACAAAATAAATGAATTGTGAATAATAATTCTAATCAATATTAAACTGGAAAGAATAAACAGATGTAAAATAGAATATTTAAGACTGAAAAAAATTGGCTGAAATCAAAAAAATACGTGTTAGGAGATAGAAATACAAAAATATTGTTAACATCAATAAATGTCCAGAGAGAGATGCAAGCTAATAAAAGATTTAAGATAATGACATATTACTACAAATGCTTACAGTCGCATTTTACAGCAATGAAATAACAGGTCGAAAGTATTAACAAAAAAAGCATCGAATAGATGAAAAAAATGTTGCAAAATATTACAAACAGACAAATCGTAGCATAAAACAAGAGAAACTATGAAGTATTAAACATCGTATCCATTAATAGTCAATTTTTGGGCTTACTCACAAACTAGAAGTCAAATTATTTCTAGTTAGTTAAATTATTCATTAATTTGAGGCTGCAGAATGAAAAAGAAAGATTGCATAACATATTTCATTTTAAAAATTGATTAAAAGAGAAAACAACTCATTGCAGTTTAAGAAATTTGAAAAAATAACAGAAAATTTTGAAAACGTGAGAAAAATACCACAGCTCAAAGGTATATAAGAAATCATAAGAGTAAGAACAAATCGAACATTTTCGGAAAGGAAAAATTTCGGAAATCAGAGAAAAACAGCACAAACTTAAATTCATAAAATCATAAGGAAAGGAAAAGAAAAAATATTTTCCGCAAAAATCAATCCGACATTTCCGGAAGAGAAAAAAAACACAACCTGAAAGAAAAAAAAAAACAAAGGAAAAATAAAATTCACCGCCAATTTACAGCTGTTCAGTTAGACGGTGGCCAACTGATTATTTCTTGCAATTTTCCTTTTTTTTTTTGATTTTTGAAATAGGAAAATGTTTGGTACTTTAGTCAAATCAACCGGATCCGGTATTTGCATCTCTAGTATGAATGGTTATTTACGTAAATTTCTGTGTGACAGAATTGCTTCCTGTTTATAATGAAATATTTAACACTAATTCTTTGCATTGTTCTTTCTTTTTTGAATATTACATTGTAATAATTAAATAATTAGTTAATGATTGAATGTTAAATTCAGATTAAAATTAAGGAAATTAATTGTGAAAAAAGTGAGCGTAAAAAAATAGCAACGAATAATATTAGCAAAGAAAATGTTTAAACTGCTGAAGAGAGAAAGAAGTTAAACATGAAACAAGTAGAAAGCTAAAAAAAAAGAGAAAGAAAAGTGGTAGAAATTGAAAGAACTCATTTATAATATTTCATTTCTTTTTTTTTCTTTTTCAAGAAATAAAGCTCAAAAATGCAGTTTTATTAAATTTATCCTTCTATTAAATTTTTTATTGAATTATTTGGGAACTTTTCGAGCATTTCAAAATAAAATCAATTGCTCTGAGAAAAATATTCATAAATTATTTGCACATTTCATTTAGTATAATTTGACTAGATTGAACGGCAGTTATTAAAATTGTATAATGAAACGATAATAAAATTGATTGTGCTATTTTTTTTTTTTTAATTTGTAAACAAATGAGGAAAGAAAATGAAAAAAAACTCAATTGAAGTTTTGGAAAAATGATGATAAATTAATGCAATAGTTCGAAAAAAAAAAAGAAAAATTTTTCCATGTCAAATTGGAGATAAATGAGTGAAACAATAATTGAATTTAATTCAATTTTATTTTATTATTCATACGACAAAAAAGTTTATACATTAACTTACACTATGATATTGCAGCAATAAGTGAGAACAGGAAATTGTCACTATTAAATATGACAATAATAAAGCAATAAAGTTATCTTCCAATCATGAAATAAATTTATATGAAATAAATATAAATTTTCAGAAATGAAAATTTGCGTATATTTCCATTTATGATATACAAAAATAACTGAAATTAAATACTTTTTAAGCAGAAATGTAAACATGTTAAAAAATCAAAATTCATTTTCTTGCCATTTCTTTAATGAAATTTGAAAAAATTGTAAAGATGAGAATGAAAATATTAGTGGAACATTTTATTCCAGATTTTATTACACCTACCGTGAAGTATTTAAAGTTCTTTAAAACTTTTTAAGTTGCCATTTTTTTGATGAAACAGAAGAGCTGTTTTAAAATTTTAGAGTAAAAATGAAAATTTTTTCTTTCTTTTAGAAATAAAAATGATTGTGACATTAAATTAAATTACAGCAAAAAAGTAAAATTTTGAAAATTTTTGAGTAGAATTATACATCTGAAATTGCATGCAATCATGAATAAGATGTACATATGCGCATTTGTCTGAGCGCATATGTCTGAGCGTTTATGGTAAAATACAATTAGTTCATAATGGCTAGAAATGAAATCTTTCTACTAACTGAAATGTGATAAATGAAACTAAAAAGTGAAATTTGGAAATTTTTTTATTTGAATTTTCGTGTTAAGTTGATCAGTTGATAAAAACAAGTTATTAATAATTGTTTAAGTACTGAGAGAACAAAAAAGAAAAGCAAAAAACTATCATAAAATTATTAGAAGCAAAAATAAGGGAAATTTTGGAATCAATTTGTAAAATTTGTTAATTGATCAACACATGATAAAGAGTTAAATAATTACCAAATGAGCAAAACATTCGTTTAATGAAAATTAAAAATTTTTATTAAAGATATGAAAAATTAAAAAATGAAAATAACTGAAGAAATAATTGAATAGCAATTAAAGTACTCTTATAAATAAAAACTACGAATAATTAAATTTATTTATTTCATTTTTTTAAGTTCAACAATCATTTTTCAAAGTCATCCATTTTAGACTTCTTTTTCCAGACACTTTTTTTTGCTTTTTAAACAACCAGTTCTCTTCGTTTCTTATTTTGGTCCTTTTAAAAGTTTGTTAAATGATAATTGAGGTTGTTCGTGCACACCATTGCTATCATTTTTGATATTTCTTCAATTTTTTAGAATTTCAGTGTCTTACAAATATGAAAAATTAAGATTTAATTATTGATCATACTTTATCAAATTGTTTCCCGCAAAAAAAAATCTTTTGTAATTTATGATATAATTTATAAAAAAATTAAATATTGATTATATATCTTCAAATACAAAACTGAAATTGTAAAGTTAGAAGTGTTTATTGATTAGTGTTTTAATTTAAATTGTTATATAATTTTTTTCTTCTGTTTATTCTGTTCAAATGAAAAAAAAAACATTCAAACCATGAAATAATCAAAAAAAGAAAAAGAAAAATAAACTAAAAATATTTGAAGGTGAAAAAATTGATGTAAATTAAATTTTAGATTCAATAATGGGAAATATAGCAAATATATCATCACAATTTGGTTATTTCATTGGTACATATCCAACACAAACAATTGGTGTAGCATTAATACTTTGCTTTTCAATTCTTATCACATTCGTATTTCATCCGCCAATTATCGAAACGGATATACGACACGGATTTGTGCACCGGAACAGTCGAGCAGTTCTTGAATTTCAGGTTGAGAAAAAAATTCAAACAAATTATTAAACAAATACTCAAAAAAAAATTCAATGAAATTATTCAATTCTGTTATTATTGCTAATTGCTTCTTTTTCAAAACTTTTGTAAAAAATCAAACTGGAAAAAAAAAGCAGAAATTTAAGTATAACCAGATAGCTGAAGAGAAAATTTCTCTTAGCGATTACTAAAGAATTCTAATTTTCTAAGCTAAAATAATGATAACAGTGATAATAATAATAATAGTAAAAGGTAAGCAATAAAAGTTAACAGCGATGAATTTCGTCTTTTTTTTCCTTTTAAACAATATGAAGTTGAACTTTTATTGAAAAAAAAAATATTTCAAATATTTCACACTTATATTCATAATTAAATGCAAATACTAATATCTCTAAAATTTTTTCTGCAAAAATATTAAATTAGCAAAACGAATATTACACTTTTGATATTGCCAGGAATGCATTTCAATAAATAAAATTTTTTAAATAATTTAAAAAAAAGCGAAAGAAAAAAAGAGTTTTTGAATAGTAAATAGTTGGATAATTTAAGATTTTTATGCTATCTGCCATTTTCATTGGTTGTTTTATAGCGTTTCGCAGAATTTTATAATTCCTCATGGATGGATATTGAAATGATGGTTATACTGATTCAACCAAAATATTCAAATGATAAGGTTCTCCAAATTACACCTCAATTATGTGACCAGGTAAGTGTAATTTATTTTGGGGTAACTTCATAGGTAAATTCAATAAATTGTATTTCTCTATTATTTCATTTTATTTTTTTTTTAATTCAATTAAAAATATTTAATTATTTTTGATAACATAATATGGTAATTAAGTGAAGCAGTAATTAGTGGAAGTTGAAAAAGTATTCTAATAAATAAAGTCTTTTTTTTTTCTGAGAGTACTTTTCAAAAACAGAAGAAAAAATATTTTAGAAAAGCCATATTATGCTATGAAATTAATTAAGCAAATTAGAATACTTTTTTCAACCTTCACTAATTATTCCTTTACTTAATTATTTTAAATAAAGGACTCGTTTTAACTTACTTACTATAATAAATAGTTGATTTCTTATAATAATTGCTGATAGCTGCAAACTTCGAAATCACCAATCTGATGAATTTATGTAAATAAGTTGAAAATGTTGAAAATGAGAAATGCAAGAGTTAAATTTTGGATGAGATGAAGGAAAAAATTTTCATTATTTTTTAATATTAAATGTTAAAAAAACTTCGCAGCAATAAGTTTTTTTTTTCTTTTTCTGACTCATTCTGCTCTGTGACAAAATATGCATTTTCAGTTGACAACAACTACATTAATTTCCTAGATAGAAATATTTTTAATTACAATAAATTCTTGAAGAGAAATTTTTAACTAAAATTTATTTCACTTGTAAAGTTAATCTTAAACTTGTCAACTTTATAAGCATAGTAAGTTATAATTTTATTATTTAGTAATACACAGCAATGATTCGGTCAAAAGTGGACATTTCTTTCGTCCACATTTATTCTCCTATCAAAATGCCAAAGCAAAACGATGAAAAGTTGAAAAGTTGAACAGAAGTGTAGGGATACCATTATTATATGCTATCAATTTTATCAATAAACTTCTTTAATGATATCAAATTTCTAATTTAATTTTTTCGTTTCTTTTTGATAATATTTAACTTATCATTTCATCTGTTTGATATTTAGATTTTTCTCATTTAACCTCACAAAATCTTGTTTTTTTTGATTACTTTTGTTGAGGTTTTGTTATTTTACTGCCAGTCAATTCTATTATTTAAATAATTTTGTTTATCTTAAATTTTTATTCATTATTATTGACAGAGTTTAACTTTATTAATAGTTAATTTCAAAAATTCTTTTTTCTTCCTTTCAACTCTTTTATAAAAGCAAAAAAAAGGGAAAAGATAACGAATTATTATTGTTAAAACTTCTAGCAGAAAACTTTCAAATTTTTTAGATAAAACAACTTGAATTACACATTCAATCATTCGAAGTGCCAAATAGTGTGAAACCAATTAAATATAATGAATTTCGTGTACCTGGCGGTAACCTTAATTACTTCTTCGATGCTTTCAAGGTATGCACTTGAAGCATTTCTTGTCACCTGCTATGCTTTTTTAATTGGAATCATAGCAATTAGAAATGATAGATTGGATTAAATCATTCATATTTAGCTAAATTAATTTTTTTTCTGTAAATCTGAAAAACTAACTTTTTTAAAAATAACACTGATCTCATCGTTCTGTCTGAGATTTAGATTTTCCTCACTTATTCTCATAAAATTTTCTTTTATTTTTCTTTATTTCTTACTTTTATTTTTGTTTTTATCAATTTTTACTGAACGATTCTATTACATTGGAATGTCAGGAATGATGCAGTAGAATTAATTTATTTAAACATGAAATTAAATTTTAATCATTCAGTTTGATTCATCATTTTGCTTTATATTATTAATTAGTCACAACAACAATTGCTATTACTTACTAATCAGATGCATAAATGGGACAAAAAGCAATTTTATACAATTAAGCAAACATATGGAATTAAGAAATTCTATTAATTTTTTAATTAAGAAATTTTATTAATTAAGCGATTAAAGATTGAAATGTTATTATTGCAGTTCGGCTATGATCTTTCAACTCGTCAAAATAAAACAGATGGATCAGTTGTGTTGACATACCCACAAGGATCAATTTTTGGTCATCATGTCTCTCTGGCGTCACATTTTTTTGGAGTTAAACTTATTGAAAATTACACAGAAAAGGTTATATCACTTTGCTACCAAAAAAATAATAAAAAAAGAGAAACAAAAAAAAAAAAAAACAAAGACGACAAAATTATATTTCAAACTAAAAAATATATGCATTTGAATTGCAAAAATTCTGAATTTCTCTTTATTTTATTTTATTTTTCTTTGAGAATATGATGAAAAATGAAATTATAATAAAATAATGAAAACTTTACTAAATGAATGTGTACATTTTTGATAGAATTTTTTTTAAGCAAATTTAATATTTAAATTATTTTAGGGTTTACCAACAGCAATGGAATCAGCTGCGACAATTTCACTATTTTTTATGGTAAAAGCTCATGGAATTTTACAAAAATATCGTTTACGCCACTGGCAACTTGCATTGAATGAATTGAGCGAAACCGGAAATTATTCCGATTTATTTGTTTTTTATATTTACGGCGACCAGGTGGACAGTATATCTTAACTTAAATAAGTTGTTGAGTCTGTCAAAGTTTTGACTTTAAGTTGAGAGTTTACATAAGTATTGAGGTGAATGGTTGACGAATAAATATTAAAGTGTCACAGATTAAATTGTTTCAGACTATGTTTCTACTAAACATATTATTATTATCATTGTTGTTATCATTGTCATTATCATTATCATTAATATTGCTACTATTATTGCTTATTATTTATTATTACTATTATTTATATAGTACTAAATGACTTTTATAAATTGAAAATATTACATTCCAGAAGTTTATTTATTATAATTCATTATTATGCAGTTATATTTGTCTGTACATGTCTGTCATAATTGTTTATACTTTTCTTCTTTTTAACAAAGAAAAGAAGAAAAGAAAAAATAAAATTTAGCTGAGAGTAAAGTAAATTTCAAAAGTTCTAATTTTAAAGCATAATTTTGAAATATTGTCAGTGTTTTAAGTGAACGTTAATAGTACAAAGAATTAAGACAAAAACAAAAAAAAAAAAAAAAAATTGAAAGATATGGTCAAAAGTAAATAAATAAAGCAAATTTTTTATTTAATTCAAAAGTATTTGGATTGCTTATTTCAAATGTTTGGCACTCATTCAAACATTTCATGAATTCTTCAGTTATTAGCTTTTCTCGTTACTCAGATTGCAAATGCTGAAATGGAAAGAGGAAATTTAAAATCACTGAAATTATTTGCAATTGGTGCATTTATAATGATTGTTTACATCGCATTTATTTTACGTATGTTTTCAATTAAAAGTAAGGTAAGAGAAAGTAATGTGTCATTAATGTTTGTCATACTAATAATAAATAAATTAATTCTAATAAACTAATTCCAAGAAAAAAAATTACCATTATTAAATTAATTTAATCTTATTAATTATTATATTAACTTGGAAAAAAATTTTTCAAAAAAAGAAACAAATGCCAATGAGTTTTAAGTTAAACATATATTTAATCTATATGAATGAATTCAAAATTCGAGCAAATTTTCCGATTCGAAAGCTGAAAATGAAGAATTTTACTTAATTCGTTAAATTTTATTCAAAAATTTCTAGATTTTGCTTACGTTAGCATCAATTTTCTCACCTCTATTAGCAACGATCGTTTCATTTTCATTAGCACAATGGTTTGGAATATCAATCACATCAATTAATGGCTTTATACCATTACTAATGATTGGAATCGGTAATGCATTACATAATTCTTAGCAAATTTTCATTAATTACTGTGAAAATATGATAAGCAATAAAAAAAGTAATGGAAAATTTTATTTTAGCCAACGAAATTATCAAATTGTTCCATTTAATATTTTAATATTTGAAATAAACAAAACAAATTTTTTGTTTTTTGTTTATTTGCATTTATTTTAGCACTTTTTTTTTTTAACTATTAGCTCTTAGCAATATATTATTGCAAAAAAATTTTCGCAGTTTTTATAAAAATGCCAATATTTCATTGCTTTGATCTTTTCGCATCGAAAATAGAGCGATAATCATTTCAGTGTATCGAAATTTAAGACAAATTAAAATCATTAATGGATTAGCTTTTTCACAAAATAATTAATTAGTTAAAAAAAGAACAAATAAGTAATTTGTTAATAATAGTTTTCTTTTTGCATAATTAATATTTAAGCTATTATTTAGCGATGCGACGTTAATTTAATATATTTGAATTTCAGGTGTTGACGATGCATTTCTTTTAATTCATGCCTGGCAAGATTGTGCCTCAATTTCAGACAAGCGAAACCGTATGGCAAGTGTGATCACTGCAGCTGGGCCAAGTATAAGTATTACAACAATTACTAATATTCTTGCATTTGCTGTTGGCGCAATTACTGCATCACCTACGGTTATTTTTATTATAAAATAGCAATAATATAATAATAATAACAGTAATAATAAATGTTTCGTAAACATGTAAGAATAATTGGTAGACAAATAAGACTAGACGAACCCTTGGCCTGAATTAGTGAGCCAAGATTTGTGGATGCATCTGCTCATACTGTAACACGGTTGCTCCTTTTGATAGGATTGTGACCCATCTCTGGCCGAATCTGAGGTCAAAGTGAAGGCGCTCGATGTGTCCAAGATGAGAGGTCATTTTAGAGAATCCTCGCACTCTTTTTTGGTACCTATTGCAGTAGTCAGTGGCTGATAAAGTCCTAAGAAGAAAAGCAACTGTGTGCTAAGTGACATAGACTTCTATATTGGTCATGTGGCCAAAGTAATGGACATTTGGATGACGTGGAGGGATGGTTGACAGAACCGTTTAAGGAGTTGCAGGTAAAACAGTATGATTAGAGAGGAGTGGACAGTACCCAGACACTAATCTTGGTGTTTCCATGCCTTCTCTGATGGGTTTCTAGAAGTATGTCAAACTCTGTTGACTTTGGTGATTGAGGGAATGGTGCTTTTCAGATATGAAAATTTCTGCTGGGTTGATTTGAGCTTAGATAAGCCAAGCCTGTGGGACATGGGAATAACGAACAATCTACCCGCAATGGTGATTGGCATAGAACTTTTGTCTTCTTCAAGCTGACGTCCAGTCCGAATCTGCGGGTAATGTGGGTGACACTGTCTCAAAAGTTGCTTTGAGAGTAACGTGGGAATTTGCTTTTTAAGTAAATGGGCAGAATTTCGGATACGCTTCAACTATTGGAGATTGAACGGACTCCCGTCAATACGAGTGTTCACATCTTCAGATGTTTCACGCCGTCGATTATCAGAAAAGCTGAAAGAGTGGCTTATCATACCCACTCAACCGCTCTAGTATGCTTACTTAAGGAACTTAGGACGGCGTCCTATAATCATTGAAAGTCACGTAAAGTCTGTACACGTCGCCTTCAATTATCTGAGGACAAATGTCATCTGCAATACTTCTGCTAGTTGCAAAAAGTACATTGGATTCTACAGAGTGAACATTAGTCTGTGCTATGTTTATTCTCACGAAATTTTAGAGAGCGCAAAGTAATACTTTAATATTTTGAGTGAGCAGTGGAACTTTTTTGCTTCCTGTTAAACAGATTGATGATGACCATGTTCCGGAAATCCGGTAATTCTGCTCATTGCTGAGTAATATTCCGAATGTTGAGTCTTTTTACCTGAGTGATGGACACTGAAAAAGAATTGAAAATGTTCAGACCATCGCTGATACGGAGCTGAAGATTAGATGTATTTAAATGAATGCTAATTGATGCATTATTTAACATATAATATTGAAAACATATTAGATTATAATGTTAAAAGTAATGAAACTTACTTTTATGTGTTTTTATTTTTACTGCAAAACAAATATGTCCAAGAAATTATAAATTAGCTTTGCTAACGAAACTACACATTTCTGTTAGAAGTAACGATTCGTTCAATTAAGATTTCATTTTAAATGAATCTAAATTATCAATAATTCATTTTGATTAAATTAGCAATTCAAATTTTAGATGAGTTCATTTTGCTCATGTATGTTAATAGCAATTACATTAGATTATATCTTTGAATTGACCATTTTTGCCCCAGTACTTGCTCTTACGACAAAATTTGAGCGCGGTGATCAATCTGAAAATCGACAATCATTTTGGTTAGTTCATTTCATTTTTATTTCTATGTTTTATTAAAAAATATAATAGAATAACTTGAGAATAATGCAAAAACAAATTTTTTTTTTTCGCCTTTATCACAAAACTTTTGACAACTTTTAAACTTCAAAAGTATTAACTGATTCAATTTATAAGAAAAAAAAATAAAATATGCAAATGGTGAAAAATAGAACTAAGAAAATGCAAAACTTAAAAGTTTTCAGTTTTACAAAAAAATGTATAATTTCTCGTCTTTCTTTCTTTTTTAAAACACAAAAATTGAGGTAACCTGTACGAGCAATTAAAACTGAAATAATTTCAGCTATTCGTCACAGTGTTGGATTTTACTTTCTCGATTTGTTATTTCTAAAGTTGGCCTAGTGACTATTGCTTCTGTGCAAATAATTTTGTACATTGTTGCTACTGTGGGTATAATGCAGATGAAAGCAAACTTTGACCCCACCAGAGCATTCTCGTCTGACTCAAAATTAATTACATGTGTAGAAATTGTTAATTCCATTTATCGTGAGGTAAAAAATAGAAATAAATTTGCTGAATTTTCATGCAACAAAAACTAAACTGGTTCTAATAAGATGTTTCTTAATTCATTCCAGAGTAATACTAAATTTTTTGAAGTAGCTAATTAGAAGCAACACCATTCTGGTAAAGCTTCAATAATAATAATGACAGTAAATTATATGCAAAAATGAAGCAAAAAAGTATTTAAGAGAAAAACTTATTTGTAAAAGAAAAAATGAATTCGCTGCAAATGCTTACAGTATGTTCCGACAGTTTTCGTTGTCAACAACCCACCTGACATTAGCAACAGTACACAGTATGATGAGTTCATGGAGTTAGTTGGCAGACTGGAAGAACTTCCTTCGTCATACGGACCAGAGAGGACGTTACTGTGGCTGCGAGACTATGTCAAAGTAACATTTTCCACTTATTTTCCTAATATTGTGGGTAACTGATTTCGTTCCTTGTAATTAACAAATTGATTAATAGAGAGAGTTTTTCAATTTATAGTAATTATACTATTGTGATTCTAATTATTTTGATAAAAGCAACTAAAAAAAAGCTTGAGTACTAGTAATGAATTATTGAAATATCTCAAATTAATTATTATTACTTAAATAACAATGCTGAAATTAGCCGTTTGTTTTTTTCTTCAGTAAGAGCTTAAATGAGATGAAGTTACTGAAATATATTAAATTAATTACTATCATTCCATAATATTCCTTCTTTTGCTAGCAGTAACACATTCAATTTAATTATTAATAACAGCAAAAGAAAAAGGCAACGGAAAAGTTGACAAGCAATCATTTATTTAATTAAACGATTTAAATTGAATTAGTTAAATGAATTGTGTGAAATAATTTTCAAATCACTTATGAACTGTAGGACAAAATTGAAATATAAATGGTAATACATTACTTATGACATACATTTTGCAGATTTTTAGCATATTAACTAAAAAATTCAAATGAATTAAAAATTTTTCAATTTCAGTTTTTCGTTTCCTTTTCAGTACCTTGAGAAGAAAAGGAAAAGATCTGGCTCTCATAATATTAATTTTACCTATCAATATGTACCCGAGTTTCTCACTAGCAAATTTTTGGCTGATAAGAATGTTTTGCATTATCATATCGTTGATAGGCATGTTCTTTCTTACCTATCCTTGTTATTTCCTTGTTCTCATTATTAATTTAGTGTTGGCCAAGACAAAAAGAATAGCCAATAGCTAATATAGCATAAGCCTTTGTTGTGAAATTGTTTCGCTTCTCACAATTAAAACATTCATCGAATTTTGCACCAATATAATTTCATTAGTGAAAAAGTTGAATCAAATTTTTGATCGCATTATAATGCTGGCGTCACACGGAACCGATTGAACTTTTTACAACAAAATATGACTACAGGGGGAAGTGATGACTGTTACCCTGATGTCGGGCAATGTCAAAGTAAATTGTAATGTTTTGACATGAACTCAGACATTAGCATTAATTTGAGATGAATTTTTTGATTCAATATCGAATAAGTAAAGCAGTATTTGATGAAATTAAAGAATCATTTCTATGCACTTTCAATTTAAGGCATTCAGTTATCGTTGATAACTTTTTATTCATAATGGTTTCATGCGGGAAAGGTGGATGGACACGACGAGCTCATTTCGTCGGTGTGTGGTATAAAATTTAAATACTTTTACTGAGTTAAAAAAAAGAATAAAAGCATCTGATTGGATGTACTGAGTCAGATAATATCAATGATTCTCTGTGTAGTGAATGTAATATTCAAATATGGCAATTTCTCCTAGCTTTTAATAATAATGCATAAATACCAGTCAGAGGGATTTGGTTATTTCTATCCCAAAATAGAATTTATTTTGAGCAATTATTTAAAATCGAATAAATTTGGAGCATTAAATTATAAAATTGGCTATTGTGAAAATTTAACTAAATTATTTGACTAAAATTATCGATGTAAGAATCAAATTATATGTACGCAAACCACTAACTATAAATTTTTTTTTTTAATAATTATTTTTAATAGATAAAATTTAAACACTGTGTTTCCGTAATTTTCATCAGTTAACAATTTGATAAAAATATATACTCTATTTCGGATATATTTAAAATGATTCTTAAACTGAGATATTTTAGATCCAATTCGATCTATTTTGGATGAATATCCGCAATATAATGTAACTTTGTTTGATTACGATGGAACAATTTTTGATCTGATATCAAATGTTAAGGTATAATAATTAAATTCATTTTGGAAGTAGTTACAATTTTTGGAAATTTTTTGGAAGATCTAAAATTTCATTTCTTAAATTAATCAATAATGATAGTCGAAATAATTTTGTTTAAATTTTATAGAGATCAAACATGACTTGCAAAAAGTAATTATTGATTATAGGGAAATCATTTTCTCGGAAAGTTTTCTTAAAAGAAGAAAAAATAAAATAAAAAAATTATCATTTTTTGGATGATAGCATATCATCTGTTTCGATAATTTGAACTTTTTTGTATTCATAGCGAAATCAAAAATTAAACTTCAATTAATAATTCAAATTTAACCTTACAAAAAACTAACAACAAAAGTTGACAGCACGAACTGATCAAAGCAGTAATAATTACAATGGTATGCATTATGCTCATATGCTACATATTCATAACAAAATTACTTTCAACAGTTGTCGCATCATTTACCATTTTCTCAATATTCTACTGTTAGTTCACTTTGCTATGGTTCTATTGTTTATTTGTGATAAAACTGTGACAAATGTGGTATTTAACTAATTATGTAAATATTATTTACGTCCATAACAAATATTTATTGTGAAAGTAGAGTGACACGTAAGTGGAGCCATTTCGAGGGATATAATATCATGTAAAGAATGTAAATTTTGTTGAAATCAAAAGATCCTTTCGCTTATTTTTTGAGAATAATTCATTTTTAATCAACATTGCAGTTCAAATTCATTAATATATTATATTGGAATGTTAGAATTATATGCAAATTCTGCAATGTTATATTTCAGGTTTGATAGGAATTTTAAGTTTAATTGGCCTTGATTTGGATCCAATAACGACGACTGTTGTACTAATTGCTATTGGATTCAGTGTTGATTTTACGGCTCACACATGTTATCACTTTTACCACTATGATAATTCGGCACATAATTCCAATAAATGCAATGATTATCGGACACGAAAACTTGCTGACATATACTTTGCCGTTGGTGAACCAATTGTTGAAGTTTGTTTAAATATCATACTTTATAATTTAATCCACTTTTTTCCTACAAAATTAAAATATTGTTTTTTAAGAAAAGAAACAAACAATTTTAGTTAAAATGGACTTTAGAAAATTTTACTAAACTTCTAGCTTTTGAATAATTTTCATTTTTTATCGAATATTTAAATTATCTTGCTATCTTTCTCTCTATTTATTTATTTATTTTTTTTTTTTGAAAAATAATTTGTATTAAAATAATGTCTTTTTTCTGTACTTATTTATGTTTATTTATTTTACTTTTACATTTTTTTACTTTTTTTTTATTTTACTTTTTTTATTTTACTTTTACTTTATTACATTCTTATTACTTCTATTACTAATAACTCTTACTTATTTCACATTCATCGCGAAACATATTACAATAAAATACTTTTATTTAAATTATTTACTCAGTTAACCATTTCCTTGTTAACTCTCTTTCATTTCCAGGGTGCTACATCTACCATCCTATGCATGTTACCAGTGTTTGCAGTTTCAACTGAATTAATCAAATCTCTCGCTAAAACAATAGTAACTGTAATATTATTAGGTATTTTTCATGCTATAATAATAGTACCTGCAATATTATCATTACGTATCAGTAAAACGAATAAGAATGAAGGAAGTATTATGGCAACTAATCATAATATTACTGTCCAATCAGAATGTAAAAATGAAACTGTAATGTGATATAAATACTTTTCTGCCTTATTTTAAAAATAAAATAAAAGTTAAAAAAGATGGAAATAAAAAAAATTTGTTTTTTTTGCTTCATTTTTTAACTGATTACAAACTTTAATTATTGTGGTGGGTAAAAATTTCCAAATGATAGCATTTATTCTTGAACAACTCTTGTTGTAATTTGACTTATTCATAAGAAATCTAAAGTTTCTTGCATCAAACAAACATATGTACTCAACTATTGAACTTTTAACATTCAATTCATATTTATAAAATATTTCTCGCATGAATAAGAATTAATGATAAATTTATTTCGTGCTGCAATCGCTTATCATTATCATTTATTTTTGGATTAATTAAAAATTTCCCAAATGAAAACTACAAATTTCCTTAAAAAGAATTAATTTGCATAAACGATACATTTGCATAAAAATGATTTAAGAAAATGGATTAATTTGCACAGATGAAAAAAAAAAAATGATATTGCACATAAACGTTATCACCAAAGGTTATCATATCATCGATACATCGTGTCAAGCTGATCAGTGCATGTCAATTTTGCGGCAAATTAAATAGCTTGAAATTCATGAGATTTGAATATTTTCAAGAAGTTATTTGTGGAGTTGATTTAGGTGTAGTGAAAAGAATTGAAAGAACACATGATGGAAGCCATCACTGTGATATGATCATTTATTGTCAACATCAAAAAGTTTATAGACGTAATTATCTGCAAAACGAAAGAAAATAAAAATAACGATGAATGAACTGTAATAATAACAAAGGAATGAAGAATTAGTGTAAGTGAGCTTGCATACAATCAATAGCAGTATTAAGTAAATCCACAGAAGTAATAAACAAAAGTATGTAAACAATTTGAATGGAAGAGATCGTTGACATATATGAAATATTGCAGCATTCAAGAGAAACAACGAAAAGGAAAGAAGGAAAAATCATTCTGAAAACTTAATATTTGACCTATAACCTTCGAGATTATTCCCACTCTCTAGTCTTCAAGCATTTTTGATCATGACAACGTCCTTAAAACTCATTGTGTTTCTTATTCTAATTTCTCGAAACTTTCCTTTCGAATTTCAAATACTTTCAAATTTTCATTTTCAAAGTATTTTTAACTTGCAATCAATCGATGACATAATGGTGCGGACAGGCACATTTAAAATGCTCGAATTGGACCAATTTAAAACTGAAAAAAAACTTTAATCTATTTATCTGCCAAAAACACATCCCTGTTTGGTGGACCATTTAAAACAGAATTTTTTAAACTTTGTTATAATCATTTTATAAGTCATTACTACAATGTTTTCGTAATAATAAATTTATAAAAATCCGAACATTTCAGATTTTTTTTTTCATCCAATATGCAAATCTTTTAAACAATAATCTCCACTGATTAGTAATTTTTTTAATTAAAACTTTATTTAGATCAATAAATTGATATAAATACTTAACTTAGTGATCACGGATATAATTGCTGATAGTTAAGATGACAGAAAGAGGAAAAGAGGAAAGGGGAACGAATAAGAGAAATGTACAGGTTAAAGTGACTTTGACACATTTACATGAGTAGATTTAATGATGATTAGGCTTATGGTAATAGGCAGTTTCGGTGAACAATTCATATTAATCAATAAATTAACGAATCATTTAACCATTAATCACTGAGCTATCAATTAAGCATGCAGTCATCAATCGTCCTATCAATCAATCAATCAATCAATCAAGAGTTAATTAATCAATCATAACAAAAATAAGTAACAGTAACACTTCTTGCACAGGCAGCCAGAGCATATCCCATATTCATAAGTACGAAAGGAACAATAATGCTACCAGTTACTAGTCCTAATAAGTAACAATAATTATAGCAGTAATTTGATAATAATAAAAAGTAAATAATTCTTGTAATAAACAATAACAATATAAGTAAAAATAGTAGTAATAATGGCATTTAAAGTTAGCATTAGTGGTAGTAGTAGTAATAATAATACTACTGTAGCAGCAAATGTAATTATCGTAGTAAGTTATAACGTAGTATTACTGTAGCAGTGGTAATAGAAGTGGTGCAGTAGCGATTATATAAAAACTGTAGGAGGTGCTACCGAGTGATAATATCATTCCGTTCAATCAACACTGAGATTCTGATACCGGATTTATGGTGTTTGTCACATCCGTACTATTGCTGGTAGAACCGGAACTGCTACTGTCGCTGCCATCTGTAAATTTTAGGAGAAAAAAGGACAGCATTAATGATAATCATACACATAAATAAGAAGAAACATACAAAACGATATCAAACAAACAAGTACTGCAGTAAATAATAATGATATTAAAAACATACTTTCATTTTTTCAAAGAATTACAATCTTTATTTCCAGAAACAAATAAAAAATTTCATACTTTTAATTCAAAAGTTAAAGTTTAATTTAAAAGAAATCGAACAAACTAACGAAACTATGAATAAATACATGAACTGAATAATTAAATTTACAACAAATACTGAAAAAATGATAGCAAGAGAGAAGAAATGATTAGTCAGACTTACTAACTCGGCTTGGCCATATGTCGACCAGCAAGCGAAGTGTTCGAGCTGCCTGATCCGTGTCCAACGGATTGACGACCATCTTTGGTGGATAAATACTGCTGCCAGCCTGAGTACTACCACTCTCCGTTGGTGCATTACAGGAACAAAAAAGCAAACAACCGAATATACCCGTCAAACGTGCGGCGGTAATACCGTTGTGTTGCTCCGAACTCATTACTAATTTTAGATGATCCATTATTTGTATCAGTGTATTCTGTGAAAAAAATAATAATAAGAATAATTGTTACTTTTAGAATTAGCACTAATTAACCGATTGACAAGTGCACAACTGCATATTCAAGGTTAATAAAAGACAAATTCGAAATATTACCTTATTTGGTGCAGGTAAGCAGTCGATAACTCTAAGCAGCAAACGGCGATTTCCCTGTGGATCGTTGGGCAGTGCAACGGAGAATGCTTCTACAATCATGCTGTAAATTGAAGTGGATATCAGGGGTTCTGGTAATTCACGCAAAAAATCCTTTACCAAACATGCCAATACATTAGTATCTGGAACTGCTTCCACATTCAATCGTGCTCGTTCCACGTTTAATTCCAGCTCTTCACGTAACATACGCTTCTTCTCCAATGAGCCACATACTGTAACATCTTAACTACAAATAAATATAAGTAGCGAATTTCAGTTTTGAAAAACTTTGACATTATGCAGCGACCTATATTATATATTCTTCGTGAATTTCTGGACTTTGAAATTTAGGATTATTTGTTAAAGAAATCCAAACATACGTATATAAAGACCGGAGTAATCGATACCACGATGTTCAATTTCCTGCAGAAGGCGGGAAAGTATCAGGGGTGTCTCTCGTCCTTCCCTTGCAACCAGTCGTTGCAAGGGTATTCCAAATAATCCATCATACCTGCAGGAATATTTTCAGCACATAAAAAAAGTGTGCCAAACAAGTATTTTTAATATACAAAGAGGTCATTGCCATAAGTTTTTAGTTTTTTTTTTAATTTCAATTGAAATAGTCATAAGTTAATAAGTAAGAAAAGAACATAAACCTGCAATTAACGATCCTTCGGAATGCTGCAGCAACACTATGAAACGCAATTTTGACAATTAGCTGACCTTTAGGTTCCAAATTCAGTGCAAACATCCTATTTCCATTCAAACGATCCACTACAAATGCTTCCAGTAGCTTCAGCGACCCCTTATGACACAATTTATGCCTGAATGTCTAAGTAATTAACTTATCTAAGTTATGAACTTAGGTATCTTTCAAGAGTACTAACACTCCTTTTTCTTTTTGTCTTTATCCTAAATCAGACTTTTTTAGACTTAAATTTGACAAAACATACCTATATTGCGGATGCCAAGAGTATACGAAGAAATTAGTATGAGTAGCATGTTGCACATCAATTTCAAACGTTTCACGCCATCGAAACTTCTGCTCAGCTGTGGAAACACCTGTTCTTGCACGGTGTGTTTCGTTTACCTCCAACACACAGTACATCTCTTCAGTGAATGCTTTTTGCTTTTCTGGCATTCTTAATCCTCGTCCTTCGATAATCTAAATGAAATGAAATGAAATATTTAGAAATGGAAAACGATATTAATTACATGTTATGAAATAGACAAGCAAAAATAAATAAATGATGGGTAAATAGTGGTAAAAGAAGCAAAGATTGCTTGAAATCTGCTGTTGAAAGTAATAAATAACAGAAAGAAGTAAATGATAAGATCAAAAAGTGATAATTAATAATGGAATGATATAATTATTTCAGTAATAATATGATTTGAAGTAAATACCTGTACAACAAGAATTCCAGTAAGTGAAGTAACGTCTAACGGAGTGTCAACATCGAAACCTGGTCCAGCTACTCTTAGTGGTACTCTTCTATTCATCAGTGGTGACACATGCAACCTATCTAGCAAGTCACCTCGTTCATGGCCAAGCGAGAATCTATTTGCCTGAAAAGGTGAAAATCTCATCAACAAATCAATCAAATGCCACTGATGTCAAAAGCTTACTTTTTTCCTTCTTTTTAAATAGTAAACTTATACTTTATGGTAATGCCTGCTTTACATTAGAACTTAAATGAGACAGTATTTTAGAAATTGAATTTCCTGAATTGAAATGGGAAGCTAATTTAGTACAACTAACAGCAGTTAACATGGCCCTGGAAGGAAGAGAAGAGCTCCGAATTGAAGCACCAGGTTTTTCACCATAGGTATGTGACCACCTTGATTGCCTCTCCTGCGGTCTAATCCCCGTATCGATAGATGCCCAATTGCGGTATTCTTGCGCCGAAAATATATCATCAATAGTTCGACCATATTGTCCACTAACATTGCTACTACCAAGTCGCACTCGAGCATCTGAATTAGACAGGAAAATGAAATGACATGAGATCAGTGAAGATGGAAACGATTGAAAGCAGTTTAATATATATGTTGGTTTTGGATTTTTGTTTATTTGAAGTTAAGATTCATCTTTAGAGACCGACTAAGGTTAGCTTAATGAAGTTTGAGTTGATTGAAAGATTCGTTAAAGTTTTAGAAGTGCTAAAGTAAGATAAACTTCAATTCAAGTAACCAATCAAGTACAACAGCTCTGTGCTGGTAAATTTGAAGGATAGTTTGTTTTTCAGATTATTTCCTTCCCAATTATATCTTTTCCAGTTATGTCAAGCATCTTAATTTGTTTTATAATGTAAGATTTGGCAATACCATAAAAATCAAACTTTTCGGATCCGAAAATCTATGAATTGTAAGATCCCAGGGATGAATTTAAAAGAAGAAATTGAAGCATTCGAAGTGAAATAGAAAAGAAAATCGATGAGATTCTTGTCGAAAACTAATGTCTTAGGAAAATCGAAGTAAGATAAAACTTCAAATCAAACAGTGAGCCGAATGGAAAATATTCTCTGCTCAAAAAGCAGACAGAAATCAGCACAAAATATGATAAGATATCAGTATTTTGTTGATCTGTTTTCCTTTAATTTGCATGACAGTAAATACAAATTTACTTGATTCGCTTTAAAAAATTTAATAAAACTAACGATGACAAGAACAGTTTAGAATTCAATAAAGTCAATTAAAATTGAATAGAAATAAATTGTCTACGCTGAATTTAAATTAGTTATTATTCAATTTAACTCGTAAATTTATTATTTCATATTTACAACGATTAATTGCATAACAAACAATGTGAAACTCTTTCAAGTTGAACGAAATTTTGGATATTAGATAGCATAAAATAGATTAGACAAAAAAATCAAAATTTCACTGATAAAGGAAATTCCAAAGCATTAAGAAAAGAATTAAGAAAATTAAGAAATGAGAATCTCTGAAGTATGTGCGTAATGGCAAATATGATAAGAATCAATAAAAGCAATATATGATATGAATGGTCGAAATTAAATATGGACACTTAGTGAATATTTGCTTATTAATAAAATCTTAAATAATAGCAATACCACCTCTTAAGAAAATAGTTTTAAAACTGGAAATTAAAATAGAATGAGTGCGTTGTAAAATAATATTTAAAAGAAGGAAGAGAAAGAATATTGGAGGAAAATTTTATAGCAGAGACAATAACTTCAATATGTTAAATTCAAGTGCTAGACAAAGAATTTCTGAGAGCTTTTCGAGATACGGTACCAACTAGGATGTATGCGGTCTCGGAGAAAGGAGAAAACACAACTCAGAGTTTCGAGAAAAGAAGGCGAAAGGGGAATTTACTTGTTGTTTACAATGTGAACTAAGCAATGGATCAGTTCAGATTCATGAAAACATTCAAGAAAACTGTTACAATCAAATACAGAAATGTTAAAAATAAGTATAGACAAACTTGCGCCATCAATGACATCGTTCCGCCACTTCACCGTCCGCGGTGCGGTACCTGAGGCAGCACGTCGACGAGGTAATGAGTTACTTCTACTTGATGGGTCAACTGGATGCCAAGCTGACTGACCACGAAACATATACCTCGGATCCGTAACTCCTGAGGGAGAACAAAGAGAATGATGCATAGCATAGCCAGCTACATCACTGAGCGAACGTTGGTTGATAGGCAGTGGACGAGATGCACCGGGTGGCACGTGGAATTGTGAAAAACCAAGACTTCCCGGGAAAGCACCGTAGCTAGATGATGCCGGGAGGTAGTCAGGTACAGTTGATGGCCCAGGGAAAGGTGACAAAGGAGGCACGGGTCGTTGGGTCAACGATCGAGGCACTGAATAAGTATACGAAGGTAGCATCTGGAAAGTAATATTATGATTTAAATTATCAAAGTGACCAATAGATGGTCAAAAAAGAACTGAAAGACTAGAAATATTTTCGGAACTTTTCTTGAAAAGATATCAAATGAGTCACTTATGAATTAGTATAATATACATGATATCAAGATGAAATCTTAGTTGATACCTGGGTGGGTAATTGAGCAGTGGTAGTGAAGCTGTCAGCACGACGTACTGAAGAAGGCAATAATTTGGGAGGTGGCACTCGACCGGTTCGTGAAACGGTCTCTTCCAGTTTTTCCGCTTGACTGTTCAAAAGACGAGACGGATGACTGATGAAATGTTGTCGTGGACTCATTGTCACCATAGAAGATACACCAGTTGCTGTTGCTGAAGATGATGATGCGGAGGATGGCTGTGAGCATCGTTTAACCATTTCCTGAATTTTTCATATATTAATCAGCTAACTGATAACAAGACTTATCACTTCCTGATCTTTTATTACTGTTAATAACTACCATACCTTAGATATGGTATGTGTACAATATCACTTATCACTTGTCATCATCAGCTGCACATATTTAAATAATGTCACTACACTTATTTTCGTCAATCATTTTTCTATTTCTTTAAGTACACTTCAGTGAAGCATAATCTAGTATTTAAGTAATAATATTTTGTGCCCTGCATTTACGGATTTTGGTGAATTCCAATTTACAGATTTTCATTTTTCCACGCTGCTTATTCCCTCTATTCTTATAAAATTAATCTTTCCTCTTTAATTCTTTCATTATGGATTTCGCATGGAAAATCCAATGTGGCACTTTTCAGAATTGTCAGTAATGATCTAAGATGAAGTAATTTGAGCGCTTTAATTAAAACATCCACAATAAAGTGATCGAAAAATCGAAATTAAAAAATTAAGAGAAAGGAAGGAATTATATTATAAATCTCAGTTCAGTCAGACATCTTACAACTGAAATCGTAAATTTTATTAAGCAAACAGAGGTGCACTACCGAAAATGAAATTCCTTCCTTTCTCTTAATTTTTTAATTTCGATTTTTGGATCAGAAGACAATAGAGCAATACTGTGCCACTGTACTTTAAGGAGTATTCAAATTGAACAAGAAAGAGTTATAGAGAAACTGTGATAAGAATACAAAATAAAGTTTTAATTTTAGCACAAATTTTGGATCACAATGCATAATCGTAAGGATTTAAATGAATTTATTAAAATTGAAAAATTAACTCTCATAAAAATTAATTAATTATTAAAGGTGACAGGTGACAACCAAAGGAACGAATAAAACGTGTCACAGACTGGAAGAAAAATCAAAAGACGGAAGCTTAACATAAGATATCTGAAGGCTTTAGAAGTCAGATAAAATAAATTATTGGACTGTTCTTGTCCTTACTGCTTTTAACAAAGAGACTTCATGAATTGCTGATAGTAATTAGCGATTTATAGTGGTGACAGTGGTGACACAACGAAAAGAAAACGTGCTTTTTCTTGAATGATCTTTTTCTTTTCAAAGAGAAGGAAAAGTTTAAGTAATTCTTTACAATTATCATTAACCTAGTCATGCAAACAGCACAGCAATACTATCGCTATCAATATGCAAATTAGATGCATGTATTCATGTCCTTCTGATCAGATGGGCAGATGAATGCAGAATTCAAAGATTCATTTTTTGCAAATCAATATTTATTTAAATTAGATCAACAATAAATAGTAATGTGCTGGTCTGTTTATAAATATAATACTCATGCTTTTATTACAGGTGCAAATTTAGAGATCCAAAATGAGTCATCAAGGAATGCAAAATAATTTTATTCAGACAATAACTCAGATTATAGTAATTAGCTATGCGAAGTACCTGTTGTTGACGAGCTTTCTTTCCAAGCCATGTGTTGGCAGTTGAGGTTGGATGATTCAGCAAGGTAGACGAAGGTGTGTCGTCGTGTTGCTCCTGATCACTCCTCTGAAAAACGACCACAGGTCGTGCTACCATTGATTGTGACTGTGTCAACCTCTCCCTGAAATTGCCTACTGTTACGTAGTTGTTGTAAGAGGATTAGCTTACTTTTAAGTTAAGTATGGATCCTAAATGAGCAATTTTTAATTAGCCGTGAACATGTTACGACTCTGACTGCTCTGTCAGCATTGTCAAGTGTGTCACAGAATGAGTGAGCATCGAAATTTCAAAAATTTTAAAAAAATGAGACTTTTGTTGGGTAAGAATAACAGAGGTCAATATGCACCGACGACACAGCAATTTTAATTTAGATTACGAGGAAGATGAGATGTACCTTTTGTTTTTAATAAAGCGTATCCTAAGTAGAAGACGACGTGGAATCGAAAGTACCAATACTACATCATCGATACTCATGGCGGATACGTCTACGTTATTAACCGATAATATTTCATCACCGGGCCGAATAATATCGCCGTATTTTTCCAACTCTGAATTCTCTCCGAAGCGAGATGCAAACACACCTGATGACCTGAAATCGGTTTCTTTTTCTGTAATCTATGGGAAATGAAGAGCGGCTTAAGCAAACAAGAAATAGTAAAGTAAACGTTGCAGACACGTCACACGTCATCTTAATTATACTAATATGAAAATATTTCGCAAATTTAAAATTCGATGCGTTATTTTATGATAATCAATAATTCTTACAAATAATACAAGATAGCATTACGTTTAACAATTTACTTACTTGCTCGCTATATCTGTAAGAGTAAATTAGCAATTTTTGACAATAGCAGCAAATTATTATGATATTAAATTGATACCTGTCAGTACCGTTACCCTCCCGAAGATATAAGCCAAGACTTTGCCCTGGTTTCTTAATAATTTCTACCAACTGGACAACAATGATATCACCAGTACCAGTAGCCCCTCGTTTTTCCATTCGATATTCTGACCTAAATGTTTTCTTTTTTCACTTCATAATTTACTGAAAAAATTATTAAAAAGAAAAAATTGGTCTAAATGATATTCATTACTTTATGTCATCAAGAATAACATTTGGTCCACATGAAAGACTGAATGATAATATTGAAGGTAAACATGGATTTAAAGAAATTATAGTTATCCTTTAATTTGACCTTTGATAAGAGAACTCCACGCTTACGGACGAATAAGCATATCAAAAGAAATAACACTATTATTCTATTATTCCTGTTGTTTACATATGAAATGAACTATTAACTATTTAGTAATTAGTAAACAGCATTAAAATCATTTACTATGAGTGAAACTTCACTGACTTGTCAAGGATACGGGCCGAAAAGCCAGTAATACCGGATGTAGTAAGTGTGGAACTTTGTTGATCTACCTGATGAATTTTTCGGACAACTTCCTCTGGTAATGAACATCCTGAAATTACCATAGTTCAATGATAAGACGTAGCTAAAAACAAAGAGTTATTTTTCCTTCATTGAAAAGCTTGCAAAAAGCCAAATTAATGTTGGAATTTTTATTATTAACAAAAAAATTAAATCTTCATATTCTCTAATTTTATCTGATTAAAAAACATTCCGAACATTACTAAAGAGATTAACATTATCACTAAAACTGTCAAACAATTATCACTTTCAATATTTGTTGTGATTAAAAACACTGTGAGAAAATTATTTGATAACCTTTGTTTGTAAGTTTCTCTAAGAAGGAAGAAAATTTTAATCAATTCTATTTTTTTAATCGAGACGATTTTTTTTTCGAATTAATTTTAAAAATGTGAAATGAGAAGATAGTCAACAGAACAGATGATACAACTAATCAATCGGTATGAATAATATATAAGATGAAAAGAGCTCCCGGGGGATTGTTAGTTATCCTTTTTCTGCCAAAGTTGTAGCATATTTTCACTTCATTCTCTTCAATTTTTAATTTTCAACTTTCTTCAGATAGAAATAAAAGTCGAAATTACTCAATAAAAAAAACAAAAGTTTTTAACAAAACATATCAGAAATTAAAATGAGTAAAACTTGTTGATACATTCACATAATTAAGCTTATGAAAATTAAAAAAGTTTATGAATTAACATCCTAATAATTGCTTAATGAAAATAATAATAATAATAATAATAATAATAATAATAAATAATAATCGATGATAAAAATAATAATTGCAATGATGATAACAAAAACTGTAATTAATAATAATAATTAATGACAAATTAGTAATAATTAATTAATAATAAGAATAGTGATAACAATAATAGCATAAATAATAGTGGTATAATCAGAATCATAATAAAGAAGTGGAATATGCAAATTTTCTTCTTTACCCTTTCTCTTCCCAATTGTCATCTTTAGTTCGAAGCAGCTAGATTGTTAGCAATAATCAATATTATTTCCTTATTATAAGCGGAATTATCTATTTCAATCCAATGAACATTTCAGTGAGAAGAAAATGAAAAAATAAGGCTCAAACATTCGCTGTTTTCTTGCATACTTGAAATAGGAATGAGTCAAATTATTTATCACTGTATTTATCAGTATCTATCAGTGTACTATCACTACATGACAAATATGTTGCACACAAAATTAATTTAATCAAAGTTGCAAATTGATTCTAAAATTTGAATCCTTTTACTTCCAAATTATATGAACGAAGCAAAGCTAAAATTCAATCTTTGAAATTATTTCATAAGTTTTAACTTTCTTATTTACAGAATAAACCATAAACTATGAATACAATGCATCGTTAGATGTAGCTTTAAGCCGAAATATGTGAGAGATTTTTCTGACATCGAATGTTGTGATTCTGAATTGATCTTTAGTTGGATTATAAGTGTATGGCATATTTTAGAGTGAAATAAATAAAGAAAAGTAATGAGATGATCAGTAGAAAAAAAAAAAGAACGAAGAAAAGAAAAAATAGGTTATCGATAGTCCATTAATAAAGATGAGATGAAAATGTGAAATTGAGGATGGTTCTACTACATTAATTTAATCATTCAAAATATCTCTTGATATGATAAGGTGGAGATAAATAAATGAATTAATAAATTAGATGAATGATAACAAATAAGATAAAGGAAGTGATGGATTGAATGGGAAATTAGATAAGAAAATATTTCAAACGAAAAAGTAATGAAATAAAGCAGAGAGAATGTGTAATTAAATGTCGCATCAGCCAGACTGCTGCGACATTTATGGCTATCGGTGGTTTGCAGGTCAGTTTTCAAATCAAATCATTTCAACAGCACAGCTATTAGATCAACGGAGAACATGCATCATTTATATTGTAGATCAAAGCCACATTAATTGTTGCTATCAATGGAGCGATCATAATTACCTTATCAAATTTCCCATGAATGAATCATTTAAATAAGTAAATCAGGTAGTATTATAGTAAAGTAATTTATTGATAAAGTTTTTGAGCAGAATTCAATGACAAACTAAGAACATTCAATATTTTAAGAAAGAAACAAAACCTGGTTGTTGATCGATAGATTGCTGCTGTTGTTGTTGAGACGGATTATAGGGCATAGAATTAATCCGTTTCTATAAATATAAAATAAGCGTAAATGTCTCTTCCTGTAAATGTTAATAACAAATGATATGATATTAGGATTGATAACTGAGAGTAGGATTGATAACTGTAATACTATCCATATGAATCGCAATATTTGCAAGTAATAATAATAATATTAACCATATATGGAAGTAGAGATGAGTATTTCAAATTCAGTTATGAAATTCAATGTTATTTCAACTACTTACTACTCATCTTTGAATGCTTTTAACCACTGGTGACACTGATGTCAAAGATCAGAAGGAGAAGAAACACAAAATACGACGGATTTACATATCACCGATGTTCATAACAACATCGGGTAGTAGTGCACACACACACACACACACAGGCACGGACACAGACACACACATACAGAGACATACATTATGCAAGCTGCGACACACTTCAGTGAGCTAACGCTGTGGCGAGATTTAGCTTCTTCCCTCATCCATGAAAATCGCAGCGGGAGAGGAAGTGGACATGGATTCAGCAGGGTGGCGGTGGTGTCGACTTGGCTGGCCTAACTCTTGGCCACCGTCCCTCACCTCCCTCTGTCCTCCACACTACCCTCACCGATGTCTAGCTGTCACCATGACAGATGCTTCGAGTGTGACACAACGCTGGGAACAAAACTGAACTCTCTGACGTCCACTATATTTACAACCTTACTTCATTCACACTAGGCTTCCCCCACTCTCATACTTATTGATTACGTTGAAAAATGCAACGCCTCACGAAAATGGCCAGATGTGAAGGACAGTTTGCTTACCAGTAATGCACATCTAGCCAAATAAATACACACACACACACACAGACAGACACAGACACATACATACACAGTTACAAACAGTCAGCAACTTAGAAATCTATTTTCTTATTAACATCTTTATGGGGATGACTATTGGAGGAGAGAGAGACAAAGAGGAATAGGGGAAGCCCAGTTAGAGCATGGAAAGTTTTTTGAAATGTAAAGTTGTGTTCTTTTATTTCATCGTGATCTCTCGGGAACAGATTTCAAGAAGACTTGTTAATTGTAAGCCAGGCCGAGTGTCTCTGTTTTTGATTAACGAATTTGAGAATTAACTATTACTTACTTAAACTAAACGATTGTTTTTTTTTTCTTTTTTCAAATTTTCATCATCAAACATTGTGCTTATAGAATAATACATTCGACTGTTTTCATTTTTCACCAAATTATTATAATCAAATTCAATGTTTTTATAAAGTAAAGCTAACATCTCGTAGACAACAGCATAGCAGACGGTAACAGTTAGACGGCGGACGACGTCTTCGACTCACGTAATATCCATCGACCGGAATATTATAGTATGATGAAACAAGTGGAACATGGGACATTTAACGTGAATGATGCATGTGGCTTCCACTTCCGCTACAGTATGCAATTTTATGGTGGAGGGTTACTGTCACTGATACTGTACCAGCAGTATTGCTCCACAGTACCACCTCATCCACACTGAAAAGTTAGCAGTCAGAGTTATCTGCACGATTCACGATGAAACTCAAATGTTAGCGACAAAGTAATGTGAAGTAAGTTGAAAATAAGATAGAACTAAATGTATTAGTACAAGTAAGTTGGGATGTTCCGTGACGTTATAAGTTACGTGGGTAACCTTCTTTAGTTGAGTTTTGGATGAGATTATCCAACCCTGGACAGACTTACAGTGATGGATATCAAAGCTGAAAATGGAAATGTTATTGCAGAAGGAAATGAAACAAAATGCTACCGTATACGAGGTCAAGTATGCAGTAAAACCAACTGTTACGTAATTATACTTACGTTAAAACTGTCACACAACGTCACACAATCTTAATCTTGATTAAATATATAATATTAATGGTAATAAAGAAAAAAGAAATGTTAGATTGAACTGATTTTGCCTAAAATTTTTCCAATCAATTAATAGTAGTGGTAATAACAATAATAATAGTAGTGACAACAAATCAAAAATTTTGGGATATTAATTTCATTTTGAAAATATTGCTGGGATGAAAATCCAATAACTGAGTGATAAGCAATAATTGGCTTAAAAGAAAAGCAAAAAAGAGAGAAGATCTCAAAGACTTAAATGATCATTTAAAAAATATCTGGAAAAAGAGGCACGGATAAAAGAAGGAGAAAGCGGGAAGAGAAAATGGAGTTCAAGGTGTAATGTATTGAAGATAGGAAGGGAAATATAAGTTAGAATGAAAATGATAGAATGTCTATGCATAAATGCAAAAAGACTCGCATTCCTACCTCTTTCCCTTTTTTTAGCAAACATAGAAATATCATTATAACTATCAAATTACAACTATCCATTCTGTCATTTGTCACAAAGATATCAATTATCAGTCGTTACTATCATCCAAATTGCCAATAAGATAATCATTGATTATTCCACAAAAAATTCTTGTAATTTCACTCTTTGAAATTACCTCAATTGCTTACTTTATCGCATGAAATTCAAGCACTATAAACAAAAAAAAAAAAAAATGAATAATTAATTGCACGAATAAAGACGGAGTTAAAAAATTAAAGTTTTTGGATGGAAATTGTGAATATTAAACACATATGCATGGGATTCACTATTTGAAGAGGTGCAGTGCAAAGGTCATATCACATTACTGATACTACAATTTTAATAGATACTAAGATGACGAACCGCTATTTTGGTCTCATCGAGGCCTAATAATATTATTCGGACGCATTGATCTGACCGAAGTCGAATTCAATTGAAAATTCAATGTTATTTACGGAAAGGAACTCTTCGTATCAAATAACATTGAAAATGAGAAAAAAGATAGAAAAAATTCAATTTCGTGCGAAGAAAAATTTTGGTTCACACAATTTGTACGTTATAATACATACATAATCAAATGAAAGAGTCAAATTACAGTCAAATTTTCTAAAAAATCGTGCAAAAAAACTTTTGTTAAATGCTCAGAGAAAAAGAAAAAGGAAAAAATGCATTGCAAATAAACTTTTGAAAATCACTGCAATAAAGGAAAAAGATGAAATAAAGGATGCAGTATTAGTGAGTTGAAATGCATAATAATTAGGTGTGTGGGAAGAATCAACAATGAGTGCTTATTCTTTTTATCTTTGAATATTAATTTAATCAGTAGTGATATGACTGAGGATGTGACACAGTCGTATGGGCCACTAGCAAAGATAAAACATGAAATTAGTGGCGGAATTCTTAAAGAAACGATTAAAATCTCATTTAATTTGAGTTTAAGAAAAACTCTGATTCTCAAGTTTATTTACCTCTGTGATGCTATACATTTTTCTATTTTAGGTTATCCTTTTCAAAGGGCTTTGTTACGCAGCTTAATATTATTTTATCCTAGCAAGAAAATATAATTCTTTTCCTTTTCTTCTCCTATAATTAACTGATATTGACTGATCGGAAGATCAAGGCGCTAGGACAGGAGAAAACGGTGGACACAATAAGAATAATATCTCTATTTTACTTTAATGCAATTTAATTTATATTTGAATACCCCATATGTCGTCCTGCTTCTATTTTTTAAAAGCCTAATTATAATAATTAGCCAAGAGATCGCAGAGGACAGGTAAAACTAGCTCACAGCCATGCCTATGTGATGGAAATTTGACACATGAAGAATTGTTGGAGCAAAGAGAGGAAAGAAGAAATGATTAAAATATATATCCTAAATAAATTTTGTATTCTTCTATGTGAGCTAATCTTCTATTTGACTTGTAAGAGATCACTGTGTTCTTCTGCCAGGACAATAGCGATAATAAATTATGAAAGAAATCAAAACGGACAATTTAAGTATGGAAAAAATGTTTAATGCTTTACATTTCAAATTAAATAAATTGGAAAATGAATGATTTTTTCCTGAAATTTAAATTAAACAATTTCAACACTAATTTCGTCTCTTATCTTTACTAATATAAGTATATTTTTTGGTCAGAACTAAGGATTATAAGCTTGAAATTTGACAAACTAATGAATGAAAAGAGAAGAAAAAGAGCTGAATAAGGTGTAAAAAGTGATAATCAATTTATCTTTCTATCGTACAAATTGAACAAAACGACGAAAGATGGAGACGATAGCCCTCCTGCAGATATGAGCCATATTGCCTCATGAATCCATCGATTCCGTAGACACTTCGTCCATATTGGTGGATAAGAGTCATGTATGTCATCATCATCTAGGAAAACATTATTATTAACGATTTATAAAACAAATGGTGATGATAATGATGACTGATGGTGATGATGATGATGATGATGATGATGATGATGATGATGACAGTGAAGAATAATATTTGAAGACAATTGACAGACTAATGGCGATAATAGCAATTTCCATTTCAATTTCTTTTCCATAAAAGAAACGAAAGACATCTGCTGTATTGTCTTCATCAAATTGCTTCTTTTCCTTTCCTCCTTTAAAACATTTTTCAAATATAAGACACAAATTGAAATAGTTCAATAGTTCCAATGCATACATTTACCACATTATTTACCACATCACAGCTTTCCCTCTCTCTCTCCCTCTCTCTCTCCTTCCTAATTATACTATTAAGGTAAAGAAGCTACATTAACTTACCTAACATAGTAAGAAGTATTTGCAACATTTTAGGCTCTTTCAAGTAACTGTAACAAAGCGATGATAATTTGGATGAACAAATCAACAATGGCAAAATCATTTTGTTTACTTTTCTATTTAATTCATGCAAAAACACTTCGATATTTTAAAGTGTCTCTTTATAAAGTTCCATCCATTCACAAAGCATCCACTCACACATCCAAATAATAATAGATTAGTAAACTAATTCCACATTCTCCCCTATTATTTTAAAAATAGATATTCTCCACCGAAATAGGTTGCTTATCGCTATTGTCACTCTATCAATGACATTTTCTTTGCTAACATATAATAATTTGTTTGAATTTGTAGCCAATTCTTTATGCCTATAAAATCACAACGATAATTATCATTGCAACAAATTAGATCTTATGAAAGACTAAAGACAGAAAGGATTGCTAGGAAAGCAAAGGCATATTTTGAATTCATCGGATGAATAGCAAGAAGAAGTAATGCCTTAAAAAGAGCCAAACACACAATTTAAGGGTTATAATAATGGCCAAAAAAGAACTGAGAGCGAAAGCTAAAGCCCAAGATAAATTGTCATATGTGGAAACAACACCACTGATACTTACTACCATATTTCATCCTTTTCACTTAAAAAAAAAAACATATATATTCCTCAATCAATAATTCCCATTCATTATTGTGCAGTAGAAATGCAAAATAATGTGCAAATTTCGGTTTTTATTGTTTCAAAAAAAAGAAATCAAAACTTAACTTTTATTAAGCGTCTGGAAGAAACTCAAACTCAATTCATTGCTCATTAACCAGTTTTACTGATTTTCCATCTTTTAATTTCTTTATTCTTATTCGCATAAAGCACAGCATTGAAATATTGCTCGAAGAATTGAATTCTAGAATGATCAGATCATGTCTGATCGATGCTGTTCAGCAAAACTTTATAAATACTAATAATTTGATTGAATACATAAAATGAATTGTCTTCAATTAATCTGATCAGAAATGATATTTCCACTACTAAAAAAAGACAAATATAAAAGGCAAAAAAAGAATGGAACTGAAGTTGAAATCTACGCTTACTGGCTAAGTGAAGACTGATTGTAATTGATGAAGGAGGCTTTGAAGAAATAAGATTCGATTTTTTAAATTAGACTAAATATTCTTTCATCAACAAGCAGCATTTAAAAAAAAAAAGAAGCAATTTGAAAATTTAAACTGTATGATCTAAATTCACTTCATTTCATTTCGAGTGGCATAATCAATTGCTAATTTGATTAAGCTCAGTTTATTTTAATTTAATCGATCTCGACAGAATGAAATTAGAATCATTTATTTCATTTTACATTAAATGGAACAACTAACAAGCAAAGTATACTTGCACTTTTTAACAATGGATGCTAAATAAAAAATAAACTTAACAGAAATATTATTCCTCTTCAAATTAACTTAACAAGAAAAGAATAAAAAAAAAAAAACACTATCATCATCAGTGCTCCAAAATGAGGAGGAAATGGAGCTGAAAGAAGTATGCAAAGTTAACTTCAATGCCTTTAAAATTCGACTCGTATTTTGCTTGAATTGAAGAGGAAGGAATCCTTCGACTAAACACTCCATATTCAATCATCATTTTACATCAGAAGCAGTCATATTCTTGTGGAATGTCTTCTCGTAAAATTTGAAAATGCCTTGCTTAGTGAGATGCCAACTGGTGACAAATCGAAAATATGATACGAAACGAATAAATTATCATTTCTGTTTTGTTGCTATGGTGAATTTATTTTTTATCCACTTTATCATTCCACAATTATTCATCCTTTAACGTTGAGAAAAAGACGCGCACTTCTCTGGTGACGTCCAATGAGCCATAAATTTCATTGGCCATAACTTTTACATTTGGATGCAAAAAAAAAACGAATTGACAATAGTCTAACTACGCCAATTTCTTTTCCTTTCTTTTTAAAAAAAGAAAAAAAAAACAGAACCTAAGCTAATATCATTAATCTTAAAAGATTGTTGTAAATATAATCGATAGATCATAGACTAATTAATGGCTCAGTGAATCAAACATACAGCATTAGTAATAGTTTCAGCAAAAATTGCAACTGCAATAATTAGATCGAACATTCTCGATAAATTTCTCGAACAGTTCCATAAACATATGCATTTGAGTCAATGTCATAGCGCAGCATAAGGCATATCTCGTTGGGCGCTTATGTGCGGCCTTCTTCAATTGGAAATACAACAGCGCATGTTGCATAAGTAATGTCATCTGAGCCATCCACTTGAGCCTGGCGGATAACAGAAGTGAAAATGTGAGCGCTTGGAAACAGAACATTTGGAGAAGGATAAATGAGTCAGAAAAATGAGAGAAGAGGAATAGAAGTAGGATACCTCGATAGTTTAAATTGTTTTGCAAGGTTGAAATTTGTAAAATACGAGACAAAGATATAAATAAACAAGGACAGTTGAATGAGAAGGAATGAAAAAGCAGTCCTTTTGAGAATAATGGGAAAGAAGTAGGAGTGGAAGAGGCTTAATTGAGAAGCTCTTATTTTGAGCTATCGAAACGAACACAGACCACCAAACCAGAAAAGCAGTAGTGTAAATGATAGCGCCACTACTGCTACTCTTCTACCGCCATGCAATTTTATCTTCCTCATCAGTAATTGAGCAAACAGTTTCAGCTAAAGATAAAAGTAGCAAGCAGTTCAGCACACTGAAGAAATTGCTTTTCGGACTTGGCAATAATATTGAAATCAGCTTGCTTATATAATAATATGATTAGCAATAATAATAATAATAATAACGATAATGATAATAATATAACCTGAACTTGATGACATTATAGAACGAACGGTAGAAGTGGAATAGTGCTGAGTGATTGTGATATGATGTTTGGAGCGTAGATAGACGGATAATAAATTTTGAAAAGTATTTTGCGATAATGAAATAAATTCTTTTCCTTTTGATCATTTTAATTATGAAATGAATATGATTGCGACGACAAATAATTTAGCACATTAAAAGAAGCGCTCTTTCAGCTGTCACATAAAAATGACTGTCAAATTGAAATGTACGAGATTTCATGTGAATATCAGAGAGAGAGAGAGAGAGAGAGAGACTAAAATGACAGAGCAGCAAGTATGCACTGCACGAATGTGATGTATCGTACGCCCTGCATCTGCAAATTATGGTGCTAGCAATTAACCGAGGCGAGGCGGTAAGGGATGGGAGGGAATAAGCGCAATAGGACACTTATGGTCAATTGAAGAAGAAAGTGAAGAGTGGAGAAGGAGATCTGGATAAATTATCAATGATCGTCTTGGTTAATTCACTGATTCACTCTTTAGGTCCGTGAGTAATTCACTCTGTTACAGAGTAAGGAGTAAGGGGAGCGATAGATTCAAGTTGATCCTTCCGCTGAGTTAATTCGGGTTGTGAGGGTGCCCGTGGAAGAGTAGAATTAACTTAGACTTTAGGTAAATGTTCCAAAGTGAAAATTTTATATAATTTGTCAGGAAAAAGAAGGAAGAAGGATAGTTGATGCAATCAGTAAAGCAACGAGAAGGAACTTTTCGGCTCGGTCTTTTTCGCCTCCCAGTGATTGGACCAAGAGAGATCTAACATTCTTAATGTAATAAATAATACAGTACTAAAATGAATTCATTACATTATAACGCCCTGCCATACCTTTCTTCCCTGAGCATACAAATGGATTATCAATTGTGAAAGAAGGGAGGAACCGATTATCCGAATAAAATCGTAAAGCTCTCTTTAATTAGTCGTATCATAACATATCATCTCTTATTAAAATTCCTATTAAATACTTATTATTGTAGATGAATGAATGAATATCGAAAAATACGCAAATATTATTCGAAAATTTTTTATAAAGAAAATATCAAAAGGGAAAAAATGGAAAATATTCTGTCTTATCCGTTTGAGCCGCGGTAAATTTTAATTAAATGTACGCAGAATACTCCGTTTTCCTTATTTCTCCTTACCTCATTCACCTCCTCCCCATATATCTCAACGAGACTCATAAGTTAGTAAACAAATAAATTCAAAAAGAAATAATTCACTAGAAATGAAATTGTACATTGTTAGTGATACTACAATCGACCGACGACTGCACATCGTTTCCTTTGCAGACTTCACTTCTTCCTGTTATCGTTTTATAAGAAATAATTGAGACGACAAAATGGAAGAATTAAAAAGATATTATAGATACGTGGAATAATTTGTTTCACAAAGAATCTATGAAATTTACTCACACAGAATTAGCGAAAAGTTACTCGATGATATGATGCAAAATGTATCAAATTTATGCTGTTCATTAATTGTCTTGAAGTGCCGAACAATAAAATGTTATCGTCTTGAAATATTCTATATTAATTCGAACTTGCTAAAAAGCCAATTAAAAAGTGTAAAAATTTAAAGCATAAAATTTATTGCAATTTAGTATATCATAATTGAAAAATGTGATCATTTATGCAAGAAGAGAAATCGACAAAGTTCCCTAATATCCTGAATCACTTTTGCCTTTTCACTGTATTGCCGCTGATCTAGAAAAATTGATCTCGTTGACGGGTCACAGAAAATGAATCATTTTCACATCCTACTTACTTACTGCAAATGAAGCAAGCAGCGAGAGCATTTTTTCTGCTTTCACCGCATTTGAGACAGTTTTCTCGAATAATAATCTGATAGGTCATCTCTTGTTGAAATGTTGCACACATTATGAAATGAATCAAAAAATGCCTTGTTCTGGTCATTGTGCTGGTAATATTGTCAAGACCAATTAAATAATGATGACAAGCCACTTTCTTCATTTCCATCTAAAAGTGACCCCTCATGATGAGAAATCTATAATATGGCAATGAAATCATCGTAAAGGATTACCCTGTTTAGCCTTGCGGAAAGAAACCGGTAAGGAAGGGCGGTGTTGCAATGTGCTGATTAATAAAAGTATGTGTATCATTTAATTTTATGATAAATTCGACATTTAATTTCTACAAATTTTGTGAAAAGTCCTGGATCTATACGATTGGCTTACTTACAATTACAATTCACCTTGTTATCTTTAAGTGAATATTTCGCTACAGAATTTTTCATTTTATCTCATTTTTAAAATGGCAAAACGTTAATGTCATTTGCAATGGTTTAATTATTTACTTCTGAAATTATTCTCTGAAAAACTTTTCTTTATTCGTTTCAAATTTCTTTTTTTGACAAATCTCTCACTTCACGCAAGTTGGGTTTTGCTTTTCGAAAAGCACTTAAGCTTTATTCATTTAAGTTCATTTTTTTTTTTATTTTTCTCTTCATGATGTAGCACAGTAAGTACATCATTGGTTTCACCTCCGTATTTTCCACCTTCTTCAATATGCAAATTCAAAATTAATGGTAAGAATGGATTCATTTGAAGTTTGCAAACTGAATAAGGTGTGTAAAATTATTCCATTATTACTATATTGAGCTACTGATTCAACTCCTTCTTACTACATAATATTTATAATATTAATCTTTCGTATAATAAAGCATTTGTTCTGAATAAAACTTCAAAAAATGCAAATTGATTATATTGCTTATGTTTTGAGAATTCAAAAATTATATCCAATAATACATACCTTTCATGCAATAATGATGGTCAATCAATCAGGAAGGGCAGCTAATTTATTCAGCACAAATAATCATCGTTTGACACTGATGGAGCCAATTTCACTGAACTGTTTCTACTCGAACTTCTATTAAATTCAAGGTTCCATTTTTTTCCTTACCTGTAGTGCAGATTGCAGGTAATGTAAGCAATTGTTTTGTACCTCATTTTCCACTTCATTTTACATTATTTCCCTTTCCACTTTCAAGCAATTACTCACTTTTCTTCCTCATTCTTACATACACATCCATTTTCGCAGCGTGAAAAATCGCTCAAAGTATTAAATTTTAATTTAAATAAAAAATTTGGTTTATATTAGCTAATCGTACAAATAATTATTTGATTAATGAATAATATACGCATAATTTTTCATTTTGATAATGCCTTGGACATTTTCAATTATTTCAATTCAATTACTGTTACTGTTATTGTAACAATGCTTCTGTCATTGATATTTTCAATCATTGAGCAATGATAGTTTTCTAAATGAACGTTATAAAAGAAAGATTGAAGTAATCAGGTGTCACTCTCCACTTACTTCGTACTCAACTTGTCACCAACACACAGGAGGAGTATCCCGATGTACCACACCATCATTCTTCTCCTGGTGCTGCTTCATAAATCGATGTCACCAAGGAGTGACCTCGAAGAAGAAGAAGAAACAAGCCGTTTGCTCAGAAAACACTTCTATGATGGCAACAAAATTGTACTACCACTTTCCAAAAGTGCCACTCTTCAGTTGTTAAATCATTGGGTTCAGCAAGCAGCTAGTGGCTTTATGGCAGCTTTTGCCAGCAAAAGGTTAATTTGAATTACAACTTTCCGTGTTTTAATTTATCACTTCCTTGGAAACTTGGTGCTGATCAGGTTATGTTTGTTGATAATTTATAACTGTCGATGACATTTGCAACTGGGAATAGGAGATGATCCTGCAAATATTCACAGTAAATCTGTACTAAATCTGTAGTCAGTAGTTCTGACTTGAAGGATGTCAAACTTTTTAACAGTTCACAAATCATTGCAAATTCTAGGATGAAAAGATTTAACACTCGAAATGGCGAACAATTTCATTATTGTTCTAAGGAAGCAAATTCGATTACTAAGCATGCAAAATGTGTTGTGGATCTATTGATGCTGGAAAAAACGCAAAGTTTTCCATTTTTTAACTTTGCACAAAGTCTTGAAGGCTTCTTGAGAATTAGTAGGGCGGATGGTCAAAGTTCATCGGCATATTTTAGAATTATGATACCTTAGAAATTCTTTTATAGACTGAAGTTTGGAGCTTTGCAAAACAATAGTTCAATTCAGTTGAGGTGACAGTGGTGCTTTTGATATCGAACTTTTGTCTTTCGTTTCAGTCAAAATCCGTAAATCTGGAAATGCAAAACGGAAGTACGAAATGCTAAAATACCTTCCGACCTGGAAAATTACACTGCGCAAACCAGATGCCAGAATTGACCGGAATCGGAAATATATGCCGAAGTCCGACTACTGGATAGGCAAATTCCGCATATTTCGACATAAACGAGCTGCAGAAACAGCGAAATGGAAAATAAAAAGAGTTAACAAAGATTCATATCGGTTGCTAACTGATAAAGATACAAAGACACCTTTTGGAATGATTATAAATGGGTTGAAAAAAACTCTTCAAAAATTGAAGCGCCAAGAAACTTCTAAACCGTAAGCCTGCAAATTTCCTGCAAACCTCAGATAACTCTTTCATTTTTGAATCCTCAAACTATTATTGAATGTTGGAATATATCGCAAAATCTATACGAAATTACTTGCCCTAAACAAATATATCTGCACAGCATCTGAAGTCTGTCTCGAAATGATCTAGGTGATATCTGGTAAACTTCTCACCAATCAGAATGTTTCAGATGGTCGGCAACATTAGCTGACATACGACATTTAGTTATGCAAACGAAGGAACGAGAGGAATTATTGAAGATGTTTGGGATTAAAGCCCAAAATAATGTTCGTTTTTCAAATTTCCTTCATACACAATTGTTGTAAAGAAAATGCAATAATCACAAAGAATCCTTTCACCCTTTCAGGGTATCAATTTAAGTAACTTTAAAAAAGTATTGATTGATCCGAGAAAGGTAAAGATATCACGAGACAATCGAATGCAGTTAGCTGCATCACTTTCAAAACTGCTTCGTGACGCTACTACACTGCTTGCAGTCACAATGTCAAATCAAAGCATTTCAAATTTGCATAATAAAACAATCCGAATAGCATCACCCAGATTTTTTTCAATTTTGCCAGATGACGACACACAAAATACAGTACGTTCTTCATTGCTTATTACACTTCTTTCCACTTTTTTTTTGAAAATGTCTATCATTCCTAAACGCACGTTCAAAGTTAAATTTAGTTTTATATTTTCAAGTTTTTGCGAGTTAATTTTTCATACTCACCGATTGATCCATTCATTACATGTTTACTTGGACTATATATTGACTAGAAAGTTGAGAATTCTGACCCAAGCAGATAATCTTCGTCCCGAAGAAGATTTAATTCCGCCTCATGTCAACCATCGCCATCTGACCAGTGTGTGTGCCAATTTGAATTTCAATACTGCATTCGCAGAAATGGTTGCAGGAAGCTTTATTGTAAAGGCTATAATAAATTCTTTGCAAATTTTGATTTGAAATATACTTACAAGTCTAAAATATGAAAATGTTAGGGCACTTGAAACTTGTTCTACAATTATTTCAGATGAATTTACTTTCACCATCAATTTTAAGTCTGCATAATGATGGCGGAAGTATGGAACGCAAACTGAGTATATCAGGTTTGCTTGGTGCATTCAAATTGATAAATGAACAAGATCAAAATGCACTGCTCGAACTGATCTCCGAAGCTTCTGGACTTACTGAAACTATACAACAAATTCATGTTTGTTTACATATTGCACATTTTTATCAAAATTCCTAACGTCCATTTGCAGATTGAAATTTCAGCTAAAAGCAAACGATATGAAAAGAGAAAAATACATTTCTGCATTACTTGTATAATATTTGATCAAATCTCATTTAAACATCTAGGTCAATTCAGTTAGACTGTGATGACTAACTCATAACTGGATGAATAAACCTACTAAATCCTTAACTGAAAACTTACAAAAGCACTCAATTTCGAACAATAACTTCCAGCATGAAAATTCTAACAGGATGGAAATCTGAGCCTAATTAAATGAATTCAATCGACATAATTAACTAAAACTGATTGAAACACATTTAAATCTTACGAAAAAAATCGAGATTTTAGAAAAAACTTGAAATGGAAAATGACAATATGCGCCACGGCAAAGGTATCGATGGACAACCCCTGTATTTCACGAAACAAAACGTCAGCGAGTTGTACGGCAAAATAGAAAGCGATAAAATCGATACATTTGAGAAACTCTACAAGACATTAAGCAAACCACAAGTTAATTTTTAACTTAAATAAAATAAGCAAATAAAATTGAGATTTAATTTAAATTAGGTAAGATAAATTCCATAAATTCTTGTGAAAATTTTCACTTTTTAAAATTAACTCATCCCATGTTGTTAAATTACACATTTGCATTCGTTCATTTATGGCATTCTCGAACTTTTATATTGCAATTCAATTTAAATAATATCAATTTCAGTTATTAAATAAGACATTGCAAGCTTCTTTCAGTTCTGTCTGAGTGCTTCTCGTTTCTAACGTCACTTAAATCCGTATTCATATTACGACGCCGCTCTAACGCTGCGACCTCAACAAAGTGAAACAGATTGTTTAATACGTGGAAAATGTTACAGATTGGAGAAATGAATGCTACTGGTTACGCAGTACTAAGCAAAAGACAGCTAAGACTCATTTATGGTCAGCGATCACCGTATTACCATCCAGTTGCGCTGAAGAGACTGTCGAAGTTGCTGGATCAAAATGACGGAATACAGAAATCGCTTGAAAGTGAACTGAAGAAATTAGCAAAATCTGAAAAATTTGGCTTACAAAAAGAAGAATTACACCGAAGACAAAAGCGCTTCGGTATTTCCCTTTCACCCTTCCTGCTGTCACCATTTATACTAGCATCGGGAGCTCTGTCACAGCCAGTCCTTCTTTCTCCAGTAATCTTGTCACCCATAGTCTTGAGTCCAGCGATTCTCGGACCCTTCATCCTAAGCCCTTGGATATTCAACCCAGTGATCTTATCACCTCGAATTCTTGCTCCTTTCATCCTCAATCCTTTCATTTTCTCTCCTCTAGTGCTATCACCCGTTGCACTACATCCATTCATCCTTTCCCCCGGCATATTCAATCCGCTAATTCTATCACCGCTGTCTTTGTCACCCTTTATACTTTCACCTCAGGTGGCAACGCCACTGATACTATCACCGATGATACTAAACCCGCTGATACTGAATCCAATGGCTTTGTCACCACTCGTTTTCAGTCCCTTCATTCTATCCCCACTTGTGTATTCACCTCAATATCTGTTCGCTCTCGTCTTCAGCCCTTATCTGCTCTCGCCAATAATTGAAAGCAAATTGATTAATAGCACGGTTATTATGTCACCAAGTATTTTAAGTTAGCATTCATGCAGTAAAACTCTCAAAAATTCTCTCCATCTCTCTCCCTCAGTCTCTTTCATTCTCTTTCTCTCTTACATATATAATATATATTGTATAGATAACACTTACTGATAATACTGTTTAAGAAATTCCAACTGATAAAAAATGTTGAAAAAATGTTTTGTTTCCAGCATAGCAAAGATTCTTTTCCTCAGCTCTCTATCCCGAGATGTAGAGAGAAAGGAAGAAGAGAATAAACTGCTTATCAGTATAATGCTTAAACGAACTGATTAGCCGATCCTTTAAAATGATCAAAAAAGAAAAACATTTGAATTGCTTCTCAGATCATTCATGCGATCACTTTTCTTTTGCCTAAAATCCCATCAAGCAATAAACATTTTCTCCAACATATTTATTCATTTCGAACAATTAATCAGTTAATCAACTGAAGCACTGTGCTAACTTTAATTAAACTAAATACATCTGCTGATAAGGAATTTACTCTAATGATTAACATCCAAAATTCATTTCTTAAATTTATACAAATACGAAACGTAAGGAAGTTCTGCTTCTTTAATAATAATTAATAATAAAAAGTGAATTAATTGATTTAATCGAATAAATAAATTAAACAAATAAGTAAATAAATATGTATTCATTCGCTTCAATAAAATCAACCTTCCTTCGGATGCTTTTTTCTCTAGCAATGGAGTGCTCACAATGACTGCTACCATTGTCAACACTCACTATTTTCACATTTTCCCCACTGCATCGCACTGCTATCTCTCACAATCTCTAGTGCCTCTCTTACGTTGCAGTAATCTTGCACCAACCCTCCCACCCACTGTGCAAAACTATCTGCAACAATCTCTAACCTCCACTAGCACACTATCTCACAAACTCACCCGACCTCCTCCCTCTCCTAAAGCCATGCTATTCACCCAACACCAACGCATCGCAAGCGGCATCTCTTTCACTTCTCACTGCAACGCAACTTCACAAATGCTTCTTCGATTTCTGCGAGTGTTGCATGTCCCGTGCATGCAACGATTCATGAAATACAGTCTCGCAAGCTGTCAATACTGGTGCGATGGCTTTCGAGTATGGCTTGTCCGTTCCTGTTCAACTTGTTGTTCTGCATGAACTGAAATTCAATGTTTATAAGTAAATCTTTGGAAATAATTGTGAACTGCTCACCATGAATCATGGAATTCAGGCCAATTCACTGTAAACTGTAGACAATTACAAATATTCCCATCAAATTGTAGCAGTAATTTGGCTAGGTTCTGAATAACAGTTTTTAGCGGCTGTGATGGAAATGAAGTGTTCTACAAAGTCTTAGATATTCTCGAGATTACTTCTATTTCAGATGGCATCGCAATTTTACAAACGCTTCCTTCGATTAGCTTCACGTTGGCCGCAACATCCCGAGAATTTGCAGGCAGCAAATCGAGATGCAGCGGTATTTCTGAAGAATGAAATAGAACGAATATTTCGAAAAGAGCAAAATATTTTCCAGAATGAATTTTGCGAAAAACGATTTGAAAGTATATTTTTTTTCAATTCAGCTATTTACCAATAGCTTTGTGCTTCATATTTGCGGTATATGTGGTAGGAATATTTTGAAGACGATTGAAAATGTATTTTGAAAAAGATTGAAAAAAATATACTTTCGATAGACATCGTAATAATGAATCCATTTTTTCTTTTTCATTGTGGAGCGATGCTGGAATGATTTCAGGTTTGGAACAGCTTGTTTCGAATAGCCATTTGGATAACTTCCCCTGTAATTACAAAGCAGGTGCGCTGGCTTTGTCGCTTAAACAGTTAAGGAGGATAAATTCACCAGAAGGACGTTTTATGTTAGGCCTAGAATTACAACCACCTGGAACAGACACAGTTAATAAAGGAATCTTTGCCAGCCTATTCAGTAAAGTGAAATTGGCACTATATCGTAAAGGACTTTTGAGGAAGTCACCGATTGAATTTTCAGATATTGAGTTAGATATTTCAGCATTACCGAAACCTAAAAGAGAGTCGGCGAGATGAAAAAAACTTGAATTGAAAATATTTTACTGCAGCACAAAATACCTTTTGTAATTTGATTAGCACTGATCACTACATAGATATTAATTTAAAAGTGCTGTAATGGTAATCCACTTACACTCGTGTTTTCTTCAAATCTTTTGTGAAGTGTCATGCTAGAAATAGGAACTGCTACTTTTACAATCTCTTTCAAACGACTTGTAAATTTTCATCTGTAGAAATAGAGAGCTTCTTGCAAGAGACTAAGTAATTTCTGCATCCGTTATCCATTCGATTGTTGACCAATGATTTGATCATTGAGTAACAGTTTTTTTTTTTCCTTTTTTTTTTTTACGTTATTTTTTGGCATTCTTTCTAATGCAGAAATAATTACTTAGTCCTCAAATGTGGTCAGAGTGCCGAACTTGAAATAGCCTATACTGCAGAGTGATGTTGGTGCATTGTTATTTTTGTATTTGTTTTCATAACTTTTTATTATATGTGTAATTTAGAAAGCATATATGAATGTGATTATGGTAATTTAATATTAATGAGAAGGACGTCAATATGTTTTAGTATTCCCTAATTGATTTTCTCACGCGAATGACGTAATCAGTCGAATCGTGGTCCATTTTTACTGTATTTAGTGACATGTGTAACTTAGGTTGTTTAATTGATTATAATAATCGGTATTACTTTTTATATGTAAATAAAGAATAATAAAATCCTACTTCGTTATGATTTTTATTATGCCAAGTTTTTTCTTTGTTACTTTTTACGAATAATTTGTAATTTTCTCCTTGCACTTTTTTTTCCGTTTGAACAGTCTTTTTTTCTAGTAGTACTCCCATTTCAGTCACCGTTAACCCTATTAATTTTGTTGATTTTAAGTGAAATTGATAAGTGTTCCAAAATAAGTGTATGGCGTCAACTACAGAAGGTTAGTTTTTTGTTTTATCAATTAATAGATCTTGAAAAATTTAATTCAAAGTTTGCAGTTCTGCTGATCAACAGTGAACTTATTGGTAATCTGTTTTACATCACTTCTATAGCAGTACTTTGTCTATGACAAGCAGTTTTGCTGGACCAATAATATATATATATATATATATATATATATATATATATAGTAGTTTTAACTTTAATAACTAGTAATGAGGGACATGACTCTTCATCGAGCATGCTGATAAGACCCCCCAATGCCTCCCTTTTGAAAGAGATTTAAAATACTTATATTTATTAAACCATCAACTGATTAAATTCCTTTTGTATGACTTCTTACATTACGTCCTGCTTTTTTTTCTGTTTCTTAATTGCTGAAATTTTAGTTTTAAAATGGCAACGTTTCTTCATTGCTGCTGGTATCCCAGGTACAGTTGCATTAAAGTACTCTAAATCCTTTGCTGACCAGCGAATGCAGTTTACAATGTTAGATGCTCTGGATAAATCGGTGCTGATTGAGCTTGGTATTGTAACAGTTGGAGATCAGGTGGGATTAGTTGTTGTGATGTATTCTTAAATCTACAATGCTGATTTCACCTCTTTTGATTTATTAGCTTTTGCTTAATTATATGTCAACAACAATACTTTGATTTAATTCAAATATGACAATCATTAAATAATTTAATTTCTCTATTGTATGATTTAATTTCTCTGAAAACATTTAGATCGCTATTCTGCAATACATTCGAAAACTAATGTCGTCTAAAAAAGAAAGGGTGGACTGCAACTCGTCAGCACTGGAATCGACTAATATATCCGCTGCAAGAGGTTTCTTGTTTATTGATGATGAAGAGTAGCTGATGACTTAAGGGGAAGTCATATTTCTTGATTTTTTTAAAATTTGGTGAAGAAATCTATTCTTTGTGCAACTAATTTTTTGAAAAATTTATGATGCTTTGAAATTTCAGAACCGGAAGTGATATCAGCAGCACCAGACCGTGACGACATTTATCACATCCATCTACCAGTTGGTACAACACCAAAAACTCGAGCTATTCTTCGAAAACACAGCATGCTAAAATCTGCAGGTTAATAATAATGAGAGTTCATATTCTGCACAGATTATAATCATAAGATCATTTGCCTAACATCTTTTTTGATGAATTAGATTGCTTGTTGGTGATTGAAGAGATTGGTGTTCATAACCCGCAACTTTTAATCCATCAACTGAACCGAAACCAGTAAACTTCTAGGAATCATTCAGTAATTCTTGTTTAGGTTTGTTGAAACGTGGTTCCAGTGGGATACGACAGTCAGGGAAGGATATTCTTCCATCAGCAAAACAGAAGAATGGAGTTCGTCAGAGCAGTACAGCAAACAACAAATACAGTGTTACTAGTGCGGCAGCATCGTCAGGTATGATAGAGCCTTGTTTTAGCTTTAAATGAAAGATTCATTTCAGTTATATTCTTTCTGCAATGAATTTGCCAAAAAGATATCTTGATATCTAGCAGACGGTCGGATTTAAAAAGTAGAGACGAATTAAAACTTTATTTAGGAAGATTATGTGAGAATAAGTTATTTAATACTTGATCTTTTTGAATAGCCTAATGGTCATTATTTATTCACTATATGGTAACATTATTGAAATCATAACCTTGAAGCTAATAACCTTGAAGAGCAGATAATGCAATAGATTTTCAGCTACAATATCGTGTGAATTTTAGAAGTGTCTTCTACAACGGATGAATTTTATGATCGTTTGGGTGTTAAAGGTCTTGTATCCGATCAGCTGGATACACGAAAATATTCTGGGTAATATTTAAGTACATTTTAAAACAGTTTAAACATTTTGAGGAGGAATTATAATTGCCTATTAATATCCGATATGCTTTTTTTCTTTGTGATTTAGATAACCGTTCGTCAGATTTAATGTGGTAATTTTAAATTGCATCACCTTTCAGAAGAATTCGAACAAATGCTTCATCATCAACAAGCTTATTTGAACGTGCCATCAATGAAAGTGCAGTGAACCATATTGCAGAACCAGTATTTCGAGTTAGGATCAGTGGAATGGAGGCGTGGAAGTCTTGCGACAAAATAAATAATCCAGTGAAATTTATTTTATACTAAAAATGGTCCACAACTAGTCTTACAAATATTGAGTTTCTTTCAAAATTTCACAGTAAATCGTAACTTTTCTGAGGTAGTTATAATATTCTTTTATGACAATGGTGATGCCAACTTTTGGGCTATTGTAATTTGAGCCATGGATGCTAATGCATCATTTATATCAAAACCATTTTTCTATCAAGCATAATTTCTAGATTCGGTCAAAGTTCACCGGAGCAATAAGGAAACAGAGGTTACAAGGTGCTGCATCCGTAAAGAATACAGCGCTCTCCGTTGCTAACACGAGACGGATTGTTGGTCGGGGCAGACCATCTGTTTTTTATCGTCTGAGTTAATCACTGATGGGCTACAAATTTGATTTAAAAAACACTAGAAACATTATTTGAAAAAACGTGTGGTCTTCAATTCCAGATGTGTTGTCAATTTAAATTAAGCTTTTTTTACTAATTTTTTGCCTTTCCTGCTTGGATCTGTTTGACTTTGACATGCTGTCGATTAATGAATGTTCTTTTTTCCTATAAAGTTACAGGAATCTTTGTAGCATTACGCTGTGGTGTTAATTTTAGTCTGAAGAATTATCTCTTTCTCTGTTCATAATTTTAGATTTATTACTTTTTTCCTGCCTTCGAAAAATATTTGTCTTCTAATTAGCTTTTTTTTAAAGAAATTTCATCTTGTTCGACTCTTATTCAAAAATAAAACTCTTGTTGTCATCCAGTTCAAGTGACAAGTCGTGGTTTTGGCAACACTTTTCAGCATATTTGTCGTTTTTTCTTTTTTTTTTTCTATTTTTATAAGTAACTTTTCACTGCAAATTCAGTTATTGAAATCTTTACAAAGAGATCTACAATCCAATGTTTTTGATATATTATTTAAATTTTTGATCCATTATTTAAATTATGTATATTTTAAGTGCATATCAATCCAGAAAATGTATGTAATTTAAGTTTGAATTCCAAAGACAATGGGCAGTGAACGTTTGGAACCGTTGGAAACGCTCGAGAAAGATTATTACTTAGATGAACGTAACGACTGGTATAGTGAAGGTGAACAAAGAGACAGCGAAAGGTTTGTAATTATCTGTCTCCATCTTTATCTTTTTACGTGAATTTTTGTGTTTGATTTCGGATTTTCGTAAAGCTGCAGTACATTCTAAAGTTTGCAGATCATATATGAATAAATGCCGAGTATTTGTTGGGTTAGAGTTGATTTCCAGTGCACAGAAATTTCGCTAAAAGATAAAATAAAATAACAATAGAATCTCTTCTAACGATAAAACCAACCTTAGTTCAAGTGGTCAGCTATGGATGTGATTGGCCGGTTCCGTTGTTGAATTTCTCCAGTCTTGTTTTTTTTTTAGTTGATCCACTGCTTGTAAATCTATAACTCCTGTCCTGTTGTTGAGATATCGTCTCATTAAATATCTCTTCCTTTTCTCGATAGATTTTTACATATCAAATGAATCGCGGATCTCTGCTATTACCGTTGTCTTGCTCTGATCGACCAGAATTAATGAATGAGAAATTTTTTGAATTATCCTTTTGGGCTGGTTATTCTTAACACCTTTTCTCCTTTTCTTTCTTGTTTTGGTGTCCATTACTTCTGTTTCTCCTCTATCTGTTTTCACGGTTGTTTACTTTACAATTAACTTTTTCCATTTGGTCAAACCTATTTTAATAACTGCATCCTCTTTCATCTTTATCATGGTTAGCTTTATTATTTATATTTGATCAGATACCAAATCACTTATCTAATAATCAGTTCACTCAGCTCTTTATTCCTACTACGTTAAAAAGTACGAAAATATAACACAATTCAAATGGAAACGAGCAAAGTGTTTATTATGCAAGAAGGGTTGGATTCACTTTCTCGAATCATGTGTGTATACATGACTAATATTTCACAAATTTAACGTGAATTGTATAGAAATTTTTACATAAAAAAAATTATTCAAAACTTCTAATTATGTAGCTTTGTTAAACGATGTTACTGGGCATTGATATAGAATATATTATTATGAGATACTTATTCACTGACATTTTTCTTTTTTCCAAGTTCCGATGATGAATTACGCGAGCAGTTACTGGAACTGGCTGGCATGCGGTGTGACTCTGAGAAAGGAAAACGTAATATTTTAAATTACTTCAAAGCTATCACTTCCTGGAATAATTTGCGTTTAGCAAATCTAATTGTTGAATTTGCGTTCGTTTCAGAACGGGGAAAGGTGAAGAAACGGGATGAATTTGAAGCAGATATGAACAGTGAACTGAGCGAAAATTTTGTTGCGCATGCATCAAAAATATTTTTGTTGAAAGAAGGAAATGCAAGGAAATTAGAAAGTATGTTCCTGTCTTTATTGCATCGTTCTAGGTCTGTTGAGCGCTTTACAGTAATGGTTGCAGTAATCATTTGAAACTTTTCCTTTGTCTTTTGTTGTATACCTTCAAGTGCGAAATTTATTTTCTTCTATTTTCTAATGCAAAATTATTAGTGGCTTTTTTTGTTTTCCATCAAAAATTTAACACTTTTTTTGGTCTGCTTTGACACCTATAATGCTTTTGACGGAAATTTTAATAGAGATTTTGACAGGAATAAAGACTAATTTCATGTTTACCCGGATGATGGAAACTCTTCATTTTGATGATTAAGAAAAATGTTAATTTTAGTTAACGACGAAAATGAGATTGATGCAAAAAGTCATGACAGCAAAGCCATACAGAATGAAACCACTTCAAACAGCTGTAATCATTATATTTTATAAATAAAATTGAATTAAATGTTTATGGCTAGTTGCTATTATGTTAAACTCATTTTAAGCATCGCAAAATTTTAGATGTTTCCCCATCAACGAGTAACAACAATTTTTCAAATTTTGCGAAACCGGTTAGTGGAACAAAGATAGATTATTTGCATATTTCCTTTATAATTATTTATTAAAAAATTTGTAATTCGTTCGAAATCAGTTAGATTCAAAATACTTATAATTGTTTTTTGAAATATTACTGTTGATTATCATGCATTTGTTATTTTAGGTAACTTTCGAAAACCAGCTCGACAAACTTACTGACTTTGAACGCAGTTCAAAATCTTTCAGTGATAACAGCAATTTATCAGATAAGACATCAAACAAGGCAACGAAGAAAGCAAAAAATGAAGCAGTTGAATTTTATGATTCGGATGAAGATGAAGACAATGAATGTTGGGTATTGATGTTTCAGTTTTCCGAAATTTTTATCTTTAGGCATAAGTTTTAATTCCTTAATTTTGGAGGGACATGGGATTTAGGGGTTGTTAAATTACAATAATTTAGGTACGGCATCATCGAGAACAATTGAAAATCGTAAAACCTTTGAACAGTTTTTCCAATGAAGATGACGGAACGAAGCAAAAAAAAGATCAGGATCATGCAACTGATGCAGTACTATCTTGTCCTGCATGTATGTCGTTATTAACACGAGATTGTCAAAGGCATGAACTCTATCTTAATCAGTATAGGTATGATTTTCCAAAACTTTTTTGAAATTAGAAATTAGTGGTAATATGAAGATTATGGAAAACGCTTGTGTTGAACTGTTGTTTCTCTAGCAGTTTGTAAAATGCAAATTTAGAGATATATTGTCTCTCGTTTTATGATCAGGAAAGCAACTGCTGGCACTACCTCTATATGAAAGAGAATATTCTAGAAGATAGGGATCATAGTAGAAGTAACTAATTAAATAAATGTCAACAATAACAGCAGCGGCAACAGCAGAATTGCAAAGAAGTCACTGCCAAATGAAAATTATAAAATAATGCATATGTGAATTAAACCATATTGCATTATACGAGTTAATATTTTCAGGGCTATATTTGTGGAGAACTGTAATGTGGTAAAAAATGAAGTGTTATTTTTGCCTCAGTCAGGAAAAAATAAGCATAAAGCTCGAAAGAACGTTGCAGGTTGTTACCTCATTCCAAATATTTTCAATTATTTGCAATTAGAAACACCATTTTTTGTGTCAGAATTTTTTTCTTTAAATTAGTGTCAAAATTTTCGCAAGTCTTTTCTAGGAATTAAGCCAAACGCTGTCGTTGATGCTGCCGTTAGTACAGTCCTTCCAAAGGAAGATTTATTTCATCCAGTCCTTTGTAGCATTTGTACCACAAATGTTGGAGTGTATGATTATGAGGAGGTTTTTCATTTTTTCAATGTTCTCACAGGTTATGCTTGAAATTTGCATGACATATTGATTTCATTAGATTTTTCACTCACAAATCTTCATCTATATTTTTTGCTATTATGATATTTAATATTTATGACATCTCATCTTTATTAAAATTCATGTACCTGATAGCACATTAATTTCATTGGCTTATCGTTTCATTTGTGGGATTCATCAAAAATTGTTCCTTTTTTCTAAGTTTAATATTTTGTAAATGGTGTTCTCTTGCTAAAGCAATAGAGAAGTCAAATTACGTTTCACATTTTAGTATATTACATCATTTCATGACATTAAAGATACTTTTTGCTGGTACCCAAGTAATTCAGGCAATACTGAACACCGTTCAGCTGGAGATAGTAACATTCAGAAGTATGTAATTCTTAACAAAAAGTTGAAGTAAGCTCCTTCATATTTCTACGAAATACAGCCTTCAACTCTTGGAAGTGTGTTCCCATGAAAATATTTCATTCTTTTGTGTCAGCTGTTTCTATAAAAACTGAATGGGCACAAGAAGGGAAAATGCAAATATTTTAAGACTAGATTTCTGTTCATTTCAAATCGAAATTTTTAATTGGAAAATTGTTGATAAACATTAATAGATTAAAGGGAAGAATAAGATAGTATTAATTGATAAACTATTGCAAGGGTTCATTTTTGTTTTGCGTTATTTCCAAAACGCTTCCTAACATTCAAATATTGCGCTACATCGCTTTGAAAGAGTGCTTGAAGCCTCTGAAGGAGGAATATAAGGAGATAGAGAGTGAAGTACTGTGTGATTTGCTGTATGGATTCTTCCAAGTTTTATAATACAGAATTTTGAAAATTTTATGACGAAGAGATAAGATCTTCATTAAAAGATTTTAAACAAAATACTCATGCGTACAGAGTTGTCTTAGTAGACAAACACGGAATAATAGTAAAGCAGCAGTTTCTTTCAAACAGGAAAATGACTGATTTATTCATTCACCAAAACCAACAATTACAGCTGGTTGGACATGTTGTTTCCGTTCACTGAATAGGTGTTTGAAACACTGAATTGCGGCGTACCGGAAATCTCTTTGACGATATAAAAATAACACGACCAAGTTGAAGGAATTCAATAGACGCAAATATACACAGCACATCACAATGATTTGCGATGTTATAGAAGAATCCATCACGTAAATACATTCCACCGTTGACGGCACAACGACAAGAACTGCAAGCTAATGGAATATTACCTGTAAAATTCACTGTTTAATATTTAAGCAGTCCGACCGAACCTATCCCAAGGCTATTTGGTCACTTTGGTACTGAATTCATAAATCAAACTTATGTTTTAGAATGCAACGGAGCATCACCGTTTCGAAAGAATTTAGCTTTCTGACCACAAAATCTGGGAGGGAAGAACATACAAAATGTAAAACAGCAAGAGATCAATGCTGTTTGAGTGTATCGCTTTTGATTTTTCAGGAAATGTGATAAGTCGCGGTTATGCGAGTGACTTGAAAGGAACTGTGCGCCGAACTTCCTGAAAGGATACGATAATGATATGATTAAAATTTCATTCATATTTTGGGTTTGACTTTGTTAATGAATTATCACCTGCCGTAAATGACGTAAAAAAGTGATAATTAAACAGAAAGAGTATGTTAGTTCTTTTTTTCTTTTTTCTATCGTTATGTGCTCGTTTATGATTATTTTATTTTTAGTGGCAAATGACATATTGCTTTCAATTTTCCATAGTGTCTGACAACAAGCAGTTACGTACATTACATTCCTGTTTTAAGATATTGATGGCATTTTTAAAATTAGAATGATTCTGATAAATGTCATCTTTGATTAGATGATTAGTAATAAATATTTAAAAGCATACTTTCTCAGCACGACAACTACGACGACCATAAAAACAACACTCAGCAATGAAGCAACAGAGGTCAGTACTAGCAGTGCCTCATAAAAATGAGTTAAATATACCTCTTGCACTCTGCAAGAAATATTGCATACATTTTGAAATTAAAAAATTCTTATCTATTTTGAAAACTGTCTGCTTATAGTGTCGACAAAAGGTAGATTTTTTTCCTTAGAATTTATTATTGTAGTTGTAATGATGTTTTAAAATATTAATTAGCAAAAGGTCTTGAAAATTGCCTGATTACGGTGCTTGTGACTGAAATTTTTTCCTTGGAATTTATTACTCTACTTGTAGTGCTCAAAGTAATTTACTTATTATTACTTACACACAAAACTTAGATATAAGCCGAATTGGTTCAATTAAACTTGCAATGACAGCAGCAGTTACCACAGTGATGGTAATCACATATTGTGCGGTAATTAACGAATAACTTATTCGTGTGCTGTGAGCATAGTAATATATTGGGAATGCCACAACACAAAACCTTTCCAAGCTGTTCGTTAACAAACTTAATCCGTTCAGAAAATGTGATGTGAAAAAAAGTACGGATATCTGAAAATTCTTAACATTTACTTTCTTGTATTCTTCGTAACTTATTGTTGTAACTGTAAAAATTTCATAGAAGGACGTAACTTCCGGAATTCCTTTAAAAAGAAAAAAAAAAAAAAAAAAACAAACGCTCAGCACACATTCATGATGACTAATGAGTTTTTCATCAGCGGAATAGATTAATCGTTTCATCCTAGTAATATCACGCTAATTCCGGTAAATCCATTATTCAAGAACACAACAGCGATAACCACATAAGTTTTCCTGAAATACTCGAAATATTGCTTCCATCTGTTGTTATGCAATCCGGGTGTGATTGAGATAAATCGGTTGACCTGAGTGCTTTACGAATTATCACAAGCAGAAAGGCCGGAATGTTGATCAGTATAAGCATTGTACCGACAACGAAATAGCCATATGTGCGTAGAATATAGGTTATATTTGGTAGCATTTACTCTTCTTTTAATCTTCACTCTTCACAACGGTGTGACACTTTCACTTTGTCTGCAACAATCAATTGAAGTGGAAAAGTTTGGTAAAATTGGTAACCTTAGATTAAATAGGGTTACATCAACAGAAATATTCACTGTTTCACTCTTTCGATGACACTGCAAAATATTAGAACTAAAAACGATAGTTAGGGAAGGGCGCTATTGCCTGACACTGCTCAAAAGTATGTAACATTTGGCTTGCAATAAATGAGAAATTTGAAATTACTTTCGCATATGATGAAATGCAACTCAGAATAAATTCTTACATGCAATTTCACTTTAAACTGAACCTTTCGTGTTCGTTTTACACTTTCAAAATTCAAAAAGAGTACCAAGAACCTTTCAATTGTTTTTCGCTTTCCATCACTTCAGTTGTAACGAATTTTGATGTAAAATTTTATTTTTTCGTCTAATAAATTATTCAGTAGCACTATTTCAGTAGTAGTCATCTAATATTCAATGCGTATGTATTGTTCGCATAACCAAATTGTATTAATCATCGAAATCTCAAATTAGTTACTGCCATGAATTCCTAAACCAATTTTTCAGTAAATTATTGAGGTAACATTCGGATTGATGAAGAATTTCTAATTATTATTTATTCACAGGCAACAAATCGTCTATCAGATCTCAAATAACTGCCATGCTGCAATGATGTCAATCAGTTTCTCTTACAATTTCAAATAAGTGAAATTTGATCACGAAATTTCTCACAGAATGATACTATTGGACTATTTTCACCTCTCAAATATGTGACAGTCTCACAGATAATGTCATAACAGTTAACAGCTGGATGACTCCTTCCACTTACATAGTATCAGTCTACGTAAGTAAGTTGAAATTACCCATAAAACTGTTCCTGTCATTGAGAACGCACTAGGATTGTCTCAGGGAAAAAAACACATACACACACACACACTGTCTGTGGTACTACTTTCATTAACTTTGAAAAACATTGGCTTCGAAGTAGAAGTGCTTCTGTCCATTTTTACAAGATTTTTTACCAGCTCAAAAAAAAAAACCGAATTATAATAGAAATAAAATTATATTAAATCCACAGAACTAAGGATTGCATTGTTTGAGTTTGGACAAATGTTCTAAAGTCACATAAGAGATCATTTATCTGGTTCATCTTTCTTGTAGCTGAGCTTATTCGCATTGCTTGTTAACAAAGAAAAAGTGTTGATTAAATTGTTTACAATTACTAGCTCCTTACTGTTACAGTTGACTCCTTTTGTTGTTTGTTGGTTCCCTATAAACTGTAAATTATATTAAAATTTGACAAGGTTAACAGCACTTTGTTTAGCTGACCTCTCCTCTACGGTATTATAAATCACATGTCTTGATGCTTACTATTTAAAGAATTACAAGCTTTATTGAGGCTAGGTTTTCTGCTTAGCAATGTGACATTCATACTGTCCTACAACTACTTAACTTCTTCAAACTTTCTAACACCGCTCAATAACTACGATCAACAATAATCTTTGTCTCTCAATAAAATAAAGATTGGTCGGTCAAACTTGTCTTTCCTTCCTGCAAAGTAACAACTATTCAACTCGAATCAGACCCTCTTTCAGAACACAGCTATAGAGAGCAAAGTGATACTTCAATAACAAAATGACACTTCAATCAGTCTGTTCTTCTTTCTTCTTATACAAGCTCGTGGGATTTAGATGGAGTTCTTGACTTTCACACTTGCAGATTCCGGATGGAATCCTATGCCTTACTGTAATGCGTTGCCGGACTTCAATGCTGCTGGTTTGAGAGTCTCTGCCAAAGTAAGGATCACATCCAGAATGTTCAGAGAATCGGTTGAGAATGAAGGATTTATCTGTGGGAAGGAAGCGTTAGCCAATGACCCAAAGGGTCCACACCGGGTTGTTTTTAGGCTGTGTATCTGCTGGAAGACTGTGTTTGTCATCTGAACAGAACCTTGGAAGGGAAGACCCACTGTCGCTGCAATTCCTAACACAATGCTTGCATAGTACTCCTTCCCACACTTCAGAGTTCTTCCTACTCTGGCATTGAAGTCAGGATGATCTTATAGTTTGGCGGAACATTTTGGATGGAGGATG